GATAGATCTAGATAGATAGATAGATAGATCTAGATAGATAGATAGATCGATCTAGATAGATCTAGCTCGATCAGTTAACTATACAACTAAACTAAATCAGCCGGGCCACTAGCCGACTTACCGGGCTTAATCTTCTTCCACCCGAGGAGAAGACACTCTTCTCCCCCTCGTCGTCTCCTCTCTGCTCCGTTTCCCTCCTTGCCTTTTGTTCCCCTCCCTGATGAGGAGATCAGGATCAGGTGTGTCTCTTCCAACACCTGATCTCAATGCTCTCCTGAAGGAGTGGGTGGAGCCTTCTGGCTGGAATGTAGAAGCCAGCCACTACCCTGCCCCTCAGGCCCTTACAATATATATATATATATACAGTATATATTGGTTTTTATGTAGAGGTATGTTGTTAACCCTGTTTGTGTCTAAATAATTGTTGTTTAATATAAGTCCAAATGCTTGAATTTTGTAAACTGCAACATGACTGGTTGATGGAGGCAAACAAGCACGAGGTCATAATTCTAGATTTAATTGACCCATACAAAGTATTCATACCCGCATTAGCAGCAGTGGGCTGCTGTAAAGCGCCCGGGGAGCAACTTGGGTTCAGTGTCTCACTCAAGGACATTTGGTCATCAGATTAGTGGACGGCCAGCATTAGCCCCTGAGTCAGAGCCGCCTGTAAGCTTAACATCTATGTGCAGATTGTTTCAGCGGCTCCATGAAAAATTCATTGGTCAAATAAAGTGACGCGTGGTGCTCAGATGATGCATGGAGGCCACATAGCTGCAGTGACCTGACTTCCATGTGGTTTTGGTGCAGGTGTGCTACGGGACGGTGGTGACATCATGATGGATGGAGGCTCTCGCTCCAGCAGCGGGAGCGGGAGGCCCATCCGCTAAACGTCACTCTGTCACCTTTGACCAACGCTCTCCCCCGACTTAAAACACCGTCACACAGCCAGGACTCATCCGCCTCTGGACTGCAGCACTTAGGTGAGGGAGGTTTCTAGAGAGGAGGAGAAGCTCAGGGGCCAAAGCTGAGCCCCTCTAACTCACAGGTAGAGTTTCAAGAAGGACGAGCAGAAATTCAACCTTACTGAGCACAGACATCAGCACATTGTATCACAGCAGCATCTAAAGTCCTGTTAGCTCCGCTTTGGGATCAGATATGAGCTGATATCAGAGCGATATTCACGTTCCTGATGACGCACACTTTCCCTCAGGCCGTCCTGTCAACTTCAGTTTTTGATGTGTGGCCCATTGTTCTTGTGTCCTGTGTTGTATGTGCATGGGTTATTTTCCACTGGATGTGTGTCTAGACTGCCTGCTGTGAATATGTGAGTCAGTGTTAATGAAAGGGCTTTGAAGTCCCGTCCCGTCCCCCACCCCTCATTACAGTCAGAGACGGAGAGAAGGCCAAACAGCAGTTTAACACATAGGCTGACATGACAGTTTATGGGTGATTCATGGCCCAGTTCTACAGCGAAGATAAATGTAACATCTTTAACTCTAGGTAACTAGTTGGAAAAAATAAAAGCATGTGCATCAATCTCTGATGAAGCTTAATGATTTCATTATTTCAACATTCTCTGATTGGTTTATAGTCGTTGCCTACTTTGCAGAATTTGTCAACTTTATTGCTGATGAACACGATTGGTGAAAGGTTGATAGGTTAAAGATTTCAACCCAGATGTGGATGTTTTCATGAGGATGGCAGCCTTCTAACATTGTGTCCTCAATGTCCTGATTATGTGAGAAAAATGTTTTTCTTGTTTCAAATGTTACTCTTAGTGCGTTCACACCCGTCATTCGAATGTGTCTCCACATGAGTCTCAAGCTAACCAGATTTGTTTTTAACCAGTTTGTGTTTTGAATGATTTCATTTACTTACTTGTGCCGAGCAAATGGAGCAGTTAGCTATAAAAGACTGAGAGAAAATAAGTCATAGTGTGATGCTCAGAGGCTACCGGCAGCTACCGGCAGCTACCGGCAGCTACCGGCAGCTACCGGCAGCTACCGGCAGCTACCGGCAGCTACCGGCAGCTACCGGCAACTTTCAAAGACTTTATGCCAACTATAAACATTCTATTTCTTCATTTGGGGGATAACAAAAGTGGCGGAGCATTGATACCTTTGCTCACAAACACACATACACAACACACACGTCAGATGGAGTAGGCGGTCCTTCAATGTGGCCCAGGAAACATTGGAGGAGACACTACTAAAAGAATGTGGCCATGCGGCCCAGACCACCTCTGAATGTGGTCCGAGCGAACAAATCTCAAAACATCTGCACACCTGTTCACAGCTGTCCACTTGTGATCAGATCACCTTAGAATCATGTTGATGCCAGGTCTGAACTGGACTGTAAGCAAAGTAGCACCTGTTTAATGCCTTGTAGCTAGCACTGGGACCCATATGTCTTTGTTTCTATTATTCAGAACTAAAAAACTACATATACAGTTTACTGATAGATAACTGAAGCCCAAATAACCGCCTCTCGTATTTTTTATGTATCGGGTTTCATTCCACACTCAACACAGCAAATTCCATCTGCTGATGAAGGCTGTGAGATAGTCGGAAGCTGCATAAAAAGCTACCAAGTGGACAGTGGGATGAGGTTATTTAGTCACTTCATAATATCTGTTGGCAGTTAAAGCAAACATCTAATGAGTTGCAGGTCACCGCTTATTTTAGGCTGATTAAGCATCATCTCACATACACTTAATGTAATGTTATAAAACCAAAGGTCCTTTATTATTAATACATTTTTCTATTTTCTTTAAGGCCTATAGGCCTCATGTTACAGCTACGGCCTATAGTTCAGGACGTGGACCTCATCACTGGTCTGTCAGCTGCAGCTCTGATGCCACTATCTGTCCAGTTTGTTTTAGATCTCTGATCTCAAAAGCTGACAGTTTTTTAACCAATCTAATTTATTATTGTTTCGGTATGACTCATGCAATATGTCACAGCACCGCTAACCAATCATTCTCACTCTCAGTATCATAAGTGTGTGTTCGGCTGTATAGCAGTATCATATAACTCTTTCCAACCTCTTCTGTCCTCCCGAAAAACTTCTGGCTCCTCCCGTTGCGTCTCCGCCGTGCGCGCCGGAGAAACTCCTTCACTCATTCCTTACTGGAGTTCCACAGAGCAGGAGAAAGACAAAAAAACGTTCCCCCCAAGGATTTTATATTACAGTCTGTGCTCAGTTTCTGTTCTGTGCAGATTTTCACAGTTTACAACACAAACTTTGGTTATTGCCTCTTAGAAGTTTTCGGGGGTTTTTCCAGTTTTAATCCGACTCTGCGGTTTCTGGACTTCAACCACGTTGAAATGGAATATGAGGAGTTCCCTAGAGAGAGGCTATCACGATTTTGAGGTAAAAGCATTTATATTTCCTTACAATGATTTGAGCTGAAGTTATTAAATATTTAGGGAGCACTTTGGCTGAAACCACCGCTGCAGCAGAGTGCGTCTCCCGCTGCAGTTCATCCATCCATGCGGTGATGGAGGCAGAGAGTCACCCACGAAACTTGAGCCAAACTCGGATCAGCGCGCCAGCAAATTAAATTTGAACTCCGACGGATTCTGACTGTTATCTGGGATTGTTTTATTCCAGTCCAGTTTTATTTTCACAAGAATCGTGAATGTGAAACAGTTTTTACATTTTCTGTCGCATTTCTTTCCTTGAAAAGTATTTTTAAAACGCTAAAATAATAATAATAATAATGAAGAAGAATATAATAAAAACGTGTCATGTGTTGATAACACAATATTGTTACTGTAGTTATTACACGGGCAGCTGCTCCTCTGTTGAATGAAGATGGACCCCCCTGCCGTGTGCGTCCTCCACACTCTGCTGGTGCTGATGATCTTGCCCCCTGTTGCCTCGGCCCCCTGCCCCCGACCCTGCTCCTGCCCCCAGCCCACTGAGCTCCACTGCACCTTCCGCTCCCTCATCACCATCCCAGCTGCTGTATCCAGAGACGTGGAACGCATGAATCTGGGGTCAGTCCTTTTTGCATCCTCAGCATTGACTTGGCATGCCTGTTATTTTGCTCCACTGTCAGTGATTGGATTACACTCTTAATGCAGTAATGCAGTATAATAAAGAGATTTAACGTTATGCCATATCAGTGCCCAGGTTCATGTAGTGTTTCTCATGAATGGGTTTAATGTTTATTTTACCGCCCGCCTTGGTGTTGTTGTTTCAGGTTCAACAGTATTAATAAGATTACAGACAAATCGCTGGCTGGTCTGAGGAAGCTGGAGCTTCTGATGGTCCACGGGAACGACATCCACAGTCTACCCCACGGAGTGTTCAAGGATCTTACTTCACTGCAGGTACACCGGCTGAACACACAATGAAAATATTACCTTGGAAAGAAAGAATGCATGAATGAATAGTGGCTGCCCTTGAGCAAGACACTGAACCACAATGATGGATCACTGTTGCTATATTAAGTTCATAAAAAATATGTCTGCATCAGCACATTAAATATCCAAATGTGTGGTTGAAGATCTGTCATCCGTTCAGCATAACGTGTCTCATCTGAGGAAAATGTGGGATCATAATGTCATCATTACTCATGATGATTTTCTTTCTCCTTGTTGCTCGTTGGTTTAGATGTTGAAGATGAGCTACAACAAGCTGAAGGAGATCAACAGACACACCCTTCAGGGTCTCAGGGCCTTGGCCAGGTTACACCTGGACCACAACCGACTGGAGTTCATCCACCCAGACACCTTCCAGGGCCTCACCTCCCTGCGGCTGCTACAGCTGGAAGGCAACCGGCTTCAGCAGCTGCACCCAGCCACCTTCACCACCTTCACCCTGATGGGCCACTTCCACGTCTCCACTCTGAGGCACCTCTATCTGTCAGACAACATGCTGACATCACTGCCCTCCAGGCTGGTGGCGACCATGCCACAGCTGGAGAACCTGTACCTCCATGGGAACTCGTGGATATGCGACTGCAACATGAGGTGGCTCCATGAATGGGATAAAACATCTCCAGGTCAGACTTTTAATTTCCACACTGCAATTTGATTTAGACCTTTATTTACAGAGTAAAGCCTGATTGGGCAAAAAGTGGCGTTTTTCTTTTCCACACTCTTTCAGCAGGAAGTCCTTATTGTTGAGCTTTTAAAGACTAGTGACCTGATACATTATCTACAATTTTTTATAGATTGGAACATTCAAAGATGTTAATCCAAGGTTAATCCAATTCAAGGTCTTATTTGACAGCTTTGTGTTTTTTGTCTCCAGGTGTCTTGAAATGTAAAAAGGACAGGGCCCTTCCCGGTGGCCAGCTGTGTCCCATGTGCTCCTCTCCCAGGCACCTCCAGAGGAAAGAGCTTCAGGCTCTGGAGAACCTGGTGTGCAGCAGCCCCGTCATCAGTTCTCCTCACAGGACTTCCCCACCTGTTGACGTCGAGAGTGAGGTCATGACCATAGAGGACTTCAGGGAATCATTTGGGAACATTTCCCTGGGCCTGTCCGACGAACATGGGAATGAGGTGGATCTGGAGTGTGGTATTGGCGAACCAAGAGTGCTTACCAAGATCAACTGGGAGCAGGTCAACCAGCTCCAGCTGGCCTCCAACATCACTGTGTCTGTGGATCTTGAATGCCCTGTCGACAGAGAAAAGTATGAGCATCTGTGGAGGCTCATCGCATACTACAGTAATGTGCCAGCCCACTTGCAAAGGGGGATTATGCTCAGAAGTCAGCCAAATCCAATCTATGTGTACAGACAGGACTCTGAGAAGGATGCCCAGTACTACACAGGTGTTAAAGTTAATATGATGGCCCAGCCGGCATGGCTGATGCAGACTTCTGCAAACCTTCAGCTGAACAGACTTCAATCATCAGCCAAGATGGTCAAATTGATCCTGAGCACGGACTTCTCGGAGACAGTTGAGACAGAGCTTGTGCGCAGAGAGAGGAGGACATGGGTCATGATTGAATCAATAAACACGACCAGCACAGTGTTGGGTGTTATCCTGGGAAATCCGAGTCAAATGTACTGCAACGTGCACAGTTCTGGCCAACCAGTCATACACTGGATCTTGCCAGACGGCTCTACGGTGGAGGCACCATACAACAGTCCAGACAACAGGGTGTCTCTGTCCAGCAATGGACGGCTGGTCATTAAAGCTGTCAGCCACGCTGACACTGGAATTTACTACTGTATTGCAAAGGTTGATGGAGACCTTGCTGTCATGCCATTCCATCTGACAGTGCAGGAATCCTCTAGCCCTCCCCCAGGGGAGGACACCTCAATTACACCTATCGAGGGATTTGCTGGCAACCCTATTTCCCTGCCTTGCACAGCATCTGGTTCTCCTGATGCTGAAATTAACTGGATTCTACCGAACAGCAACATAGTTAGTTTCCAAGCTAACTCCTCTAGAGCTTTGGTCTATTCCAATGGCACACTACATATCCCACAGACTCAGCTATTGGACAGTGGCTATTATAAATGCATCGCCATTAATCCTCATGGTGTGGATACACTGGCTACAAAAATCACTTTTGTCCGGCGCAAAGGGCTTATAAGGCCTTTGAGGAAGTTGCCAACAAGACCTCAGTCAGTGTCAGGGGTGAACACTCAGATTAAAGTCCCCATAGAGGATGCAGAGGAGGCATCAGGGGACATTGAGGTTACTCAGGTGGGGGCTCCAATGAGCCGCTTGGATCCTGTGAGGAAGAGAATTCCAGGAATTGTGGCCCCTGGCAGGAGGGGCGTCCATCCATCGAGGAATAGGTGGCGGAGGCCGCTGGTGCTTCAAAAACCAACAGGATCACATGTTGAAGACAGGAAGAACACAGTTGACAGCAGGAGGAAGATTAATATGTCAAAGAGTAAAATAGACCCAGAGAAATGGGCTGATATTTTGGCTAAGATTAGGGATCGAAATGCTCACAATACTGTGACACCACTCCCAGTTCAGCATACAACAGAGAGGAAACAGACAGAGAAAGCAACACAGTCACAAGTTACTATTGAGGGATCTTCAGATGGCATGACTGTGCAGGGCCACGATTACTTTACAACACCACTCACTCCAACACAATATAGACAAATGAAAACGAATGAACATAATACAGAAAGTCAAGGCACAGACTTGACATCTAACAGCTACACCACACATAATGCACGCGAAATGACATCAAACAGTCAGCACACACAAAGCCTACATGTTGCAGCAGATCCACACACAACACAGACTCCATACAATGCACAGCACACAGTCCAAGATACAAATTTGGATATACACACAACTTCAAACAGTGTATTTTTCCTCCCACAGCAGACCACATCTGTTCCCCTACACAATGTCACTTTCTGGCAGGCCAACACAAACACTGCAAGCAGCAGTACATTTTCTCTAAAAGAAAGCCAAAGCACAAATACAGATGTTAATGGAGTCAAAACAGCTGATGCATCCAAGGCCTCGGAGAGAGGAGAGAATATGGACAGACCGAATGTTGGTGCCAACTCTATTAATGAAAGAGAACTGTCTTCAAGGGGAAGTCAAATTATCCCTTCGGTCGACCTCAATGAATCAAAAACAAGCCAAGAGGAAAATGGAAAATATCTTAGTGTGACTGCCACAACATCACAGTTGCGTACTCATCCAAAGGATACAACACTTGATGATTTGCAATCTCAAGCAATGCTCACACAAGTACCTCCAACAACTACACTAGTACCCACCACTACAAGAAGGAGGGGGTCTGAAGGACGAGTCCCCTCACGCATTCGACAACCTAACTCCAGGAGAAGGAATGGGGGTCGTCTGAGAAATCCAAACAAAAGGAAACAAAAGCTGATTAAACCCACCCAGTTTATTGCCACCACGCCTGCAAATGCTCCCTTAGCAACACTCAGGACCACTGCCTCCACACAGCTAAAAATAGACCCATTAGAAGTTAAAACAGCCAATTTCAATACCACTGTTCCATTCAGCGGCAGCCAAGCAGCGTCATCAGGCATACTGAGTCATGAAGAAAGCACAGTCTTAAGGCATGACGATGAGGCAGCCAGAAAACTCTCCTCACTTCCAGCTTCTCCCTCCGAAACAAACGACAGCCATCAACCCACAGCCAAACCACTATTGAAAACCACATCACCATCATTTCCAACAGCCTCTCCAGAAGTAGGTCACGGAAAGACAAGTTCTCAAACAACCCTGAAAATCTCAGAAAGTGCATCTCCTCCTGAGCGCTTGGATAAAATCACATTAATCACTCAGCAGAGGTCTACGGGCAGCTCTCTTCCACCTGTTAAACCCTTAGAGGAGACACAACAGGTTAGCGCTACAGGAGACCTTGGACCTCTGCCACACTCTGGGGATTTTCACACTCTAACGCAATTGCTAACAGATGTCGGGCAGAATGAATCAGACTATCAATACACACCCACGGAAAAAGGTGACAGAATGCTTTTGAAAGAGACTGACATTCATTTTTCACTGCTGCCATCCCCATTTGCCTCAGCTGCTTCCTTGATCGAGCATGAAATCAAGACAACCTCTGGTTACACTTCAAGTGGCTTGATTACGACACTGAGCGTGCCTCTTGGGGGTGATTTGGACACGGAAGAGGTTACCACAAAGAAACCTACACTACCTGAAAGACCTGTGAATGCAGGAAATAACTTTGATGCTCCTTTGACAAGTATCATCAGAACAACAACTATCTCTGCTTCTTCATCAAGGCCTGATGCTGTGACCCCATCTAGAGCGGCGTCGCATGTCACGTTACCCAAAACATCTTCCACAGAAGCCAAAATGGGCCTTTCATTTAGGGCCATCACTCAGGAGGCTCCCACGATCAACATAATTCCAGACAACTACGGTCAAGACCAACGAACACAACCCATCACATCAGCGTCTAGGAGAACATCAGACTTTCGTCCTGCAACCCAGTCAACTGACAACAAGCTGGCTCTATTTATTAGTACAAATCCAACTTCCCCAGCCCTAAAATTGACCAGCAGGCAGTCAATCAAACCGACTGCCACCCCAGCCCCAACAATTGCTGCAATTCAAACCGATCCATTCAGAGAGGGACTTCCAACAAGCACTCAGGATGTGTCCAAAAGGCACCAGCTCCCTGGAAAAGGATCTATTCCAAGAGGGAAGCCAAGAATAACTAACAGCAATTTCCAGACTTTCACTGTGGACGCTGAAACAGATGCTCAGCTTCCCTGTGGGGCCGAGGGTGAGCCAATGCCCTTCCTGTCATGGACTAAAGTTGCTAGTGGTATGTATTACTTAACCACCTAACGACTCAGTATTTTATGTACACCAGGTCAAGCTTCTTTACAAACACTATGGGAAATGGAAAAAAATAAAGATGAAATCAGTGTAATCACATAGTTTGGCCCAGAATATGCATAAGTAATGTAAATTATTAATCATCATTATTGTTAGTAGTAATAGTAATAATTATAATAATAAAACAAGGTCAAATTAGATAAAAGTGCAGACACCTTGTTTTTCAATATGGTTAGACATTCATCATCAGTGAAGATGTGTTTTTAATATGTACAGCACAACACAATGTTCACACATGAACAACTTCTCATTTTTTGTTCCAAGCCCCTTTGTTAAAAATTGGAGGAAGCCGGGCTACTTTATGCAGATGTGTATGGGGATTAACTTGTTTTTCGAGCCAGCTTTATGTGGCTCGAAACTGCAGTTTTTGGAAAAAAAAAGGTGGTGATCAAACCTATTACCAGAATATTGATATTGCTTTAATGCTGACAAATCCCAAATTAAGTTCAGTGCATTTCAGGAGATTTTTAGGATGTTTTTCTACAATATCTGTGCAACGTTTTCGGTGAGGGACAAATTATGGTTTTGGCAAATGAAGTATTCCCTTGAACATGGTTAATTTTTATCTAATTTCCCCCTGGGGATGAATGAAGTTTATATCTATCTATCTATCTATTTGTTTGTGAGATATGGCACCCACACAAATGTATTGTCTTTTTGCACAGCCTGCAAATAATACACCCATTTCATCTACACTATATTGTTTTTTGTCTTTTTCAACATTAAATAATTCTTCACCTTATATTTATAATATGTCTGAGAGAACACTGTCTTTTTTACAATTGCTGTCTTTCCATTCATGCAGGGGCGAGTATTGCTCAGAACACCAGGGTCCAGAGGTTTGAGGTCCATCCAAATGGTACATTAATCATCAGGAACACACATCCCTTGGACGAGGGCCAGTACCTTTGCACAGTCCAGAACCAGTACGGCACAGACAAGTTGGTGGTCGACCTTGTGGTCCTGTCTCAGCATCCGCGGATCCTCCAGCCTCGGCACAGAGACATCCCTGTGCACCTCGGTGACAAAGTCAAGTTGGGGTGTAAAGTGGAGGGTCACCCTATGCCTCGAGTCACATGGGTGCTCCCTAACCATGTCCACGTAGCTGCTTCCCCACTTGGTGTTGCCCCTCAGCAGCATGTGGCCGTCTTTAGTAACGGAACACTCCAGATAAGCCAGGCCACATACACAGACAGGGGGATTTATAAGTGCATTGGCAGCAGTGCAGCTGGGGCCGACTCAGTCTCAGTCCGCCTTTATGTCTCCATGTTGCCACCTGTGATTCAGCAGGCACAACATGAGAACATCACCCTCCCAGAGGGCAGCCCCGCCTACATCCACTGCACTGCAACAGGGGCCCCTCAGTCAGTCATCACTTGGATCACACCTGATGGAGTGCAGCTCACTGCTTCCCAGTTTGTTACTGGACGCAACCTCATTGTCTTTCCCAATGGGACCCTGTACATATGGGGATTGGGCCAGGGAAATGCTGGGAGATATGAGTGTTCAGCCAGTAACATGGTGGCATCCAGCAAGAGATCAGTGATCTTGAACACAAGGAGGAATCCGAACTCTGCCAAGGCCAGTATCACCTTGTCGTCCCCCCAGAGAACAGATGTGATCTATGGGGGGAGGCTGATGCTCAACTGTGTGGCAACAGGAGGGCCGGAGCCCCGGATCATCTGGAGGACACCCTCTAAGAAGCTGGTGGATGCTCAGTACAGGTAACAAATGTACATGCAAATGAATCCTTTTTCTAAAGCAATAAATGTTTAAATATATGCATACATTTAATGTCCTCTGAATGCTATTGTTTCTATTATTTTTGCAGTTTTGACCCCAGGATAAAGGTGTTCCCCAATGGCACTATCACCATTCATTCTGTGACCGACAAGGACAGTGGTGACTACCTGTGTGTGGCACGTAACAAGATGGGTGATGACTACGTTCTGCTGCGGGTCGACATGTTGACCAGACCGGCCAAGATCGAGCAGAAGCAGCAGAGATCCAATCAGGAGGTGGTGTACGGCGGGGACCTGAAGGTGGACTGTGTGGCATCTGGTGTCCCCAACCCAGAGATCAGCTGGGCACTGCCGGACGGCAGCATGGTCAACCCGGTCAAACAAAGAGATGGTGTCAGCGGGGGACGCAGTCGCAGGTATGAGCTGCTTCATAGTGACTCTCAGAATTAACTTTCACGTTTAAAATATACCTCCATTGGTCCATTCAGAGGTGCTGAATCAACTGAAAGAACTGTTAAGAGGTTGTGGTTTTTGTTTTTTGACATGAATGATTAAAAAATACTTTATAAGAAGAAAAAGGATGTTTGGGAAGTTCTGAATTAGTTGTAAATTGGTTATTACATCCATCTCTTCATTCAGCACTTCATAGTCTAAATGTAAGCATGAACAGATTTGACGCAATAAAGATTTCTGTTAGAAAACCAGTTTAAGCTGCTCTCTTAAATTACATAATTTCAAGTCAATTCATTTAGCCCAATGTCTCAAATCTCAAATTAGCTTCAAGGGCATTTACAATCTGTACAGCATATCAAACCTCATGCCCTTTGACCCTTGCTTTGGTTTAGGAAAATCTTTCCAAAAAAGCTTTAATGGGGAAAAAATGTAAGAAACATCAGGAAGCATTACAGAGCAGGGTTCCTTGCATGCATGCAATAGAAATGTACATAATGTCCATACAACTAATTGGAAAATGTTCCCTGACTCTGCTACTGTGGCAGCTCACCACCTAAGATTGATGACTCTTTACACTTCCACAGAAAATTACTTCAAGAACCAATTTTGGCATGTGCTGTTATGATACAAACACTCCTTTGTATTTCAACTGGATTTATTGTTTCCTGCCATGATACATGCAACATACTGTAAATACGTATTTTCACTCTATCAAGGCTGGGCAACCAAACACATTGTTTTCTGACACATAATCGCTGACTGATCACAGAAAAAGGCTCACAGAGTATCAAATGGTACCTTTGTTGTCAGCTGTTAAAAAATACAGAACTTGCGTTCCTGGTACAGTATGCAAAGAACTTCACTACCATCTTTCATTACGTGGATATACAGTTCTTGACAAGGGATTTATTTCTATTAATTGTGCTGAGTTTCTTCAGTAAGAAAAGTGCTGTATATGAAAAAAGTAAGTTACAATGTGTGATGTCCAAATCTTCATAATTGCATGAATTCATAAATGTTCTACTAAATATACATGAATGCATTTAACTCTCAACTGATAGCTACCGTCATCAAAGTGTAAACATCAGTATCTCCCTTCCCCCCTTCCCTCTCTCAACTGTATATAGGTATGTGGTGTTTGACAATGGAACGCTGTACTTCAACCATGTCGGCATGCCAGAGGAAGGTGATTACACCTGCTACGCTGAGAACCAACTTGGCAAGGATGAGATGAAGGTTAGAGTCAAAGTCAAGGCTGCAACTTCCCCGCCACAAATCCAGGATAAAGACCAAAAGTTCGTCAGGGTTTTCTACGGTGAGACAGTCACACTGAGATGCAATGCCAAAGGGGAACCAATGCCAACCATCACATGGATATCCCCTACAAATAGAGTGATCTCCCCTGCATTAGACAAATACCAGGTCCTGGATGATGGAACATTGGTGGTTCAAAAGGTCCAGCGTTTTGATGGAGGTAACTACACCTGCATGTCCAGGAACAATGCAGGACAAGACCATAAAGTCATTAGGCTGGAGGTCCAAGTAACATCTCCAATGATCAACGGCATAAGAGGAACTGCCAACGCCATCAAGGTGGCCGCAGTCCAGGATCAGCGGAAGCTGGTGGACTGTGTGGCAAAGGGAACTCCCACCCCTCGCATCATGTGGGTACTACCAGGAAATGTGATCCTACCTGCACCATACCACAGCAACAGAATGACAGTTCACCAAAATGGTACCTTGGAAATCCGGTCAGCCAAGAGGACAGACTCGGGGCAACTGGCTTGTATCGCTCGTAATGAAGGAGGAGAGGTCAAGCTTGTGGTCAACTTGGATGTGAAAGAGGTTGTTGAGAGTCCACAAATTAGAGGTTCCAAAACAGATAGCCTTTCACTGACTGTGGGGAATACAATGACTTTGAATTGCTCTTTTCAGGGCTCAACACTTCCTCACCTTACTTGGATCTTACCCAATGGCACACCATTGCATAGCGGTGCTCGGTTTTCTAAGTTTTTCCACAAGCCCGACGGCTCTTTGATCATCAGCAACCCCTCTGTTGCTGAAACTGGTATGTACCGCTGTCTGGGGCGTAATTCTCGAGGGCTTGTGGAGCGTACGATCACATTGTCCCCGGGGAGAAAGCCTGAGATCAACAACAGCTATAACTCTCCTGTCAGTGTTGTGAATGGGGAAAGATTTTTGCTTCATTGTCTAACCAGTGGCGAACCTCTCAGACTAACATGGACGATACCCAGTGGGGTGGTCCTCAACAGGCCACAGAGAGCTGGACGATATGCTGTTCTACCTAATGGAACACTTGCCATCCAACAAGTATCAGTCTATGATCGGGGTTCCTACGTGTGCAGAGCGGCAAATGAGTACGGCAGCGCTCAGCTTTCTGCATCAGTAATTGTGATTGCATACCCACCTCGCATTACAAACGGCCCTCCCCCTGTGGTTTATGCTAAACATGGAGTTGCTGTTCAGTTAAACTGTGTAGCAACTGGGATCCCAAGAGTGGAGGTAGCATGGGAAACCCCTGATAAAACCCGCTTGGCTGTCAGTGTGCAGCCACGCCTTTTTGGGAACAAGTACCTCCATCCACAAGGTTCCCTCATCATCCAGAACCCGACACAAAGAGATGCTGGCGTCTATCGATGCACAGCTAGGAATGCCATAGGCATCGACTCTAAAGGTACCATTCTCAAAGTGTTTTGAAGAATTTCACTTCATAATGGTCCATTGCCATACTGTATGCCCAAGCAACTGCCTAGATAAACGTTTTTTATGATCGTAATATTGAGTTGATTAAAACCTGTAGTTGTGTTTTTTAGAGGCAAAATGTTGATGGTATTTTGCAGCACCACAGTTTACCTTTCACATAATTTTTTGTATAATCCCCATCACTGGGAATTATCAAGGGCCTCCCATTTTGAGCAATGTTTGCTAAAGAAATGTTAATCATGTGGGGAAGCAGACGACAATAATGCCAGTTTGGCTGTGTTTTTTGCATTGCATCATTTTTACAGTTACTGCTCATGGACAGTTGTTGTTCTCATTTCTTTTGGATACCAGTTGTTGTGCTTTGCAGTTTAGCTTCAGGCTAATGACTTGTACAGTCCCTTTGTGCAGTCTATTACCCTTTACTGAATTATTTACCTTTTATGAGTAATAACTAATATTCATTCTCTAAGGGGATGGCACAGACAAATAGTTGTAGTTACCTGATTGGTTCTACACAGGCCAAACACCATAATAAAACCAAAATTAATTAAAATATGTTGACACATTCCTTAACTTCTGTATATTTCAAATCACTCAGGGAAATGGGACGAAGAGTAAAAAACAAGTGTCTCTATATTCCTACCATACTAGAACAAAAAATACCAACAATCACGTTAAGACACAGTAGTCCTACGACTACTCTATGAAATATACATAGGTCACATAGCTAACGCTTATTTGTCTAACAGTTATTAAATGGGTAAACACTACATAATATTGAACAAATGAGTCATTTTAGACTTACGGAACAAACTGCATAATGACATCAGGATCTGCCTCTATAAGCTTCACTCTAAGTATTTCACATTAAAGCAATTGATCCATTGATCCTGTCTGACCAGTGAACAAAGACTCTCAGAAGCATCCTCAGCTATACCTTTGCTTTGATGGCATAGTACAGTTGCTTCTGAGATTGACAGAAGAATTGCATAATTTATATAACAAATTTTCTAACCAAGAAATATTGTTTAACTTAATTACAGAATTGTAAGTTGCTAATAAGATTTCTTAAGGCAGATGATTTGTATTTTTTACTCCAAAGACATCAGTTGGTATCCAATGCTTTTCATAAATGTCTATCTTAGTTTCTGTGTTGTCATAACTGCACATATTGCAATAACTGATTGTTTCTGCTCTCAGCAGTGTGCACCATCTTTGAATCAGCTTCTGAAAAATGCTGATCAAGGTTATATGTCCTCATTTGTAAATTATTCGTCTTTCACAGACTGTGGTGCATAGTCATTTTCCTTTCACCGTTGGGTTTTGCTGTGTGTGTGTGTGTGTGTGTGTGTGTTTGTCTCTCCTGATCATGCTCATTCTCTCCACCTGTGCCAAATCACCTGCACCTGGCTTTTCCCTCTGCAAACCCCACTCATCACCTCTCACCTACTTATACTCCCCTGCTTGCCCTGCTCCAGTTGCCAGATTATCATTTGTCCTTTTCCCTGCCCGTGGACTCTTTGCTCTCCTGTCGTTATATTTCGTGTTGACCCTCTGCGGTCCACGGTTTGTGACTGTGCTTTTTGTGACTTTGCTTTTTATTGCAGTTTTGTTTTCCCGCGCTCCCGGTTGGAGTTGTTTCTGTTTTGACTGCTAAATGCCCAGTAAAGCCTTGTTTTTTACCTCACCTTGTGTCCTGTGTCTGAGTCTGTGCCTGAGTCTCTGCTCCACTCCTAAACCCACACGGTAAACCGTGAACCGTCACATTTCCCATATTTTATTAAAACATCTCCTGTTTCTACGAAGCTCGGAGTCGAAAATATAAACTTTGTATTAGTGAGGCAGGGAAAGCAAAAGATTAGAAAATGATGACTCAAGAATGTTTGCCACTGTACTATAAATTACATCCATAACTGAGAATATCTTTTTATTTAACTTTGAAATAGCAGCATTGACCACAAATGTTTCAGGAAACATAGACGTGTGTGACTTTATATACTTTTTCGTAACAAAATTATTCAAAAGTTGAATGTAGTTTTTGTTCAGCTGTCCTTAGAAAACAGAGCACAGATCTGAGAGAATACTCCATTTAGCATGTTGGATGAAGGAAGTAGGTCACCATTATTCCCGAAGACTAGAAACTTGCAATAATTGCTGCAGTCTCATCTTCCAGAAAGAAGAAACATCTGGAGCCATGAGGAAATCCCCCATTAGTTCAGCAGATTCGGCCTAAAAGAGTCACACTTTGAGAAATTTGCAGGGTGAAAGAACCAAATTACACTTTTTACTGTAACAAAGTAGTTTTACGCCAAAATGTCCTGATAAAATGTGTGAATGGAACAAAAGAAAGAAGATAAATCAGCAGCTGCAGCAGCAGTAAACAAAGCTTCTGGTGTGTCTGTGGCTGCAGGAGGGCAGAGATCCAGAGAGAAGGCTCTCAGGAAAAGACGTGTGTGCAGCCTAATTAATCACTCGTTTATTGCACCATCCAGCAGTATGCTAGATCCAACTCAAACAAACCCAACTAGTGCATACTGGGTCTGGCTTACATGTTAAAATCATAGACTGTAAGAAAGAAGGGGACAATTGGTACTACCGTTTTAAAGCCTTGAATTTGGCATTTTGGCCATCACCCTCTTGTTGTTTTTGGAACCAGAGGTGACCATATTTGGAAGTAAGGGTGAAGTTGGGGAAAAGCAGGGCCTGGCAGGGCCAGGTATTGTCAGCCTAACAAACATTAAGTTACCAACTAAGCACAGCGCATCCATAATTCACATTTACTGTTATATTAATTGAAATTCTAATTTTGGCTGTACAAAATTATACTAAAATTAAATGTAACAAATATTAACATCCGACCTCTTGGAGTTTCTTTTAGTACAACTCAAATAAGTAGGAATAAGTCAGACGTATACCTGCGTATACCCTGCACTACACCACTGCTTGGATGACAAGCTAAACGTTACCTAAAACTAGATAGCCATATCCAAAGTTTACCATTGATTATGTTGCAGGCATCTTGAAACACCACAGCACAAAGTAGGCCTAACCTAAATCTATAGCGAATGTAGGCCTATAGCTACATGTTGCAAAATGACTTCATTACTCTACAGTGAAAGATTCACTCGACATGACTGAGTGTCTGTGCAGTAACTGCAGAACAAGGGGTGAGCTAACAGACCACATTTGTACTCTCTTGATGTCTCTGTTTACTTCATGAGTCACCGTGAATCCTGTCAAACCCTGAATACACAACATAGTTGTACTGTAAGTAAAGATGTACACTCCTGCATACATCTTTGACAGAACTGGCAACCACTTGTGAAGTGAATGCAAGGGAACAGGGGAGGGAGGGTCCAACATCTATTAGCTGAATGTTATCAATGTTGTCAATATTGAAAGTTTTAGTTCAAAGACGAAAACTTCATCAAGACTGGAAAAACAAACTCCCGTCTTCATCATGGTTGACAGCTCGCCGTGGTAGTGACCTGTCAATCACAAGGTAGCCACACCCTTAAGCATATTTCGCTTTATTTGAATTATAATTTACTAAATGAACATCATGCTGTATTGAAGAAGACTTGAAACTAGAGATTGAGACCACAAACTCATGTTTACAATGTTTACTGAGGTAATAAATCAAGTAGTTGGCCATTAGCAAGAATACAAGTTTAAATGACTTTCACATAGTGGGACAGAGAGGCTGAGTAGACTGGTTATATTAGGCTTTGAGAATAGTCCAGCAGAGAAGTATGAACGTTACTTTTACTTTAGTAAATTATTCTAGTGCTCCTTCCATCTCTGGAGATGTATCCGTATCCATTAATCATCACAGTCAGGGGGTTAACCAGTGCTGCATTGTGCTGCTCACTCCCACCCAAACCCTCTTTAGTTTTCTTCTTGCTGATGAAATCAACATTTTCCACACTGAGAACTGATTAGGCTGCAGTGATGCATGTTGTCCTCCAGCTAAACCAGATAGCTCACAGCGCTCCACTGGGATGTCTCTGTGTTATGAAGCTGTCTGTTTGTGACCCAGAACCTGCTTGGATACAGTTTGGAAAAGCTCACATCTTGTGCCCACCTGTTTTCCTTTACGTGTGTCTGTAGTTTGCTCTCATTACTGAAGGAGACAGTCATCACAATTGAGTAATGCCACGCTCACGGATGTTTACGCTGCTCATGCACAGTTAGCTTCCTGTGCTTATCTGCTCTGACTTTAGATGGTCTATTAAGGAAATTGACATCATAGGAAATGGAAAAAGAAGTCCCTATTTAAGGGATTACTACTAATCATGTTGCTGAGATGCAACAAAATGAAGAGAAGCTTCAGTGAGGGAACCTACTATGATCCGTGAATGATTGGTTTTTCACATGGTGACGAATCAAAGACAGTACGAGGGAGCTCCGGCTGTGGAGAATGTGTGTCCTACAGCAACACCATCATACATCTGCACATCAAGGCACTTCATGTCTGAGCAACAGAGACACTGAATTTGAAGAAAAGTTGAAAGGACTGCTCCATCAAAGGGCATTGGCTCCTTTCTTCAGTGTCTGAGAACACGGTGTGGGTTCCTTGGTAAAGAAACAGCACTGAGCTAACACCTTTCTTCCTCGGTGGCTGCTGTGATGTTGACGACATTTTCATCAGTCTCAGATTTAGCGCTTTAAGTATGCATGTGTGATTTATTGCTTGTTTTTGACACGCGTGCTGAGCTGTCTTCATGAATGCTCGTGTTCATGGTAAATCATAGGATCATCAATGTCAGTAAAATAAAAGCTAAATTCAAAAGAGGCGACACAGAATTTTGTGGCCTTGATGGAAATTTGTGGTCGGCTGCATAAATCTGCCAGACTGCTAAAAGTTCAATCAACTAACATTCTAGAAGTGTTTTTCTGAATACAGTGCGGGAATGACGGACTCTGCCACTAACAAGCAAACTAAAGGTAATTACATATGAGTAAATATGAATGTAATTACTTAATGTAAACATAGCCAACACCCAAACCATGCGGCTGTGGCTCAGGAGATGGAGCAGGTCGTCCTCCGTAGATCAGGGTTCGATTCTCCGTCTCCTCCAGTCCGTATGTCGAAGCGTCCCTGAACCCCAAATTGCCTCTGAAGACATCAGTGTGCGAGTGTGTGTGAATGAGCATTGGCTTTAGATCCTGATATGGTATGGCACATAGTATTGCAGCATCTGCCATCAGTGTTTGAATGGATGTGAATGGGTGAATGTTGACATGAGACATACAGCGCTTTGAAGAAGACTAGGAGGCACGTGTCTTCATATCTTACGAAGAGTTACTCTCATTTTTCGTGTGATTTCATACAAAAGCCAGCAACACAGTCTTCACAGGAAGCAACTTTGTTAGGTTTTGGAAAAGATCTACTTAGTTGGTTTAGGCAACACAACTTTTGGAAAAGATCGTTGTTTGAGTAGTGCCGTCCCTGTATTACACAACTTACATGACAAATATATCAACGTCCCTTTCTCGTTTCACGTGGGGAATGAACAGCGGTCTCCTGGGTGGGAGATCCATCTTTGTTGGACCCATCCACTGCAAATCCCATCAAGATAATGTTTATTAGTCCCTTAGAATTCCAACCCCACATAGTTTGTTTCCTGAATGTTAATGTCAACAAACTCTACTGTTTTGTTTCAACAGTTTAACAAATACTTTCCCAAATATTCTCGGAGGTTCCAGCAGCTGTGCATTAACTTTTGGACCTTTGGATCATCTCCCACTCAGGGAATTAGTGTGTAAGTCTACGGCAGATGTGAGCATGTCTGTAGGCTGTTTCATTTATTCTGCTTGGGTAAGAAAGGATTCACAGAAGTGGTTTGTAATTTACAAGTTCTGGACCACAGCAGCAGAAACAACTGTGAAATCCTCTTTTACGAGCTCTCTGAAAAATGTATCTTAGCAAGTCATGAGGTAAGAAATGGACCTTCAATGTTCCAGATGATGCATCTGTCCATTAAATAGAGTGCTTACTGGTCTAATTGTGGGGAACTGGTTTGGTTTGTGGCCCAGTTTCAACCAGCAGCCTGCGACTGCAAGGACCAACTCCACCCAGCTGCTCCTCCCCAGCAGGGGCCTTGAAATGAGCACAGACCAGAAACCCCTCCACAGCTGACTGTCATTACTCTTGCAATCTCCAATTAGCCTGATCGCAGAAATTGTGGTTCATTCGAATTCGAAGCCGCTGATCAAATTAGCTGAGCGACTTTGAGTATGAATCAAAACAGTCATGCGACGGCTCCCACACAAGAAGAGCGGAGGAGGCGGTTCAATGCTGTTAACCCCAAAACATATGGAGGTGTTTAGGATTCTCCGACAGCTCACATTTCGCTCTCGTCCGCACTGTATGTGGAGGCAGACACAGCATGGCTTTAATAACAGCTGGTGCTGAGTCGCATGGGCGTCTAGCCTACACCTGCGCACACACACACACACACACACATTCTCTCCTTTCGTTTCCTCTATCCTCTCTCACACACACAGACTCATTCACAATCATCACTGAATCACAAGCACTCCATCAAGCAGAAAGCTGTGTACTCATCAAGCAACTGAGGAGTTCCAGATGGGGACATTATCAGGACTATTTGTTCATCTAAACCCAATAAAAGAGGTGGGAGAGGCGGAAACACTTGGGTTGAAAATGAAGAATAAACAGGGGAAGGGGGAGAGATGCGGAACAGAACCCAGGTGCTTCAGTAATCTAGACCAAACAGTGCTCGGAGCTCCTGCTCATATCACCAAGCATGGCTTTCACTTTCATCCTCCTTGAGATTTGCGTTAATGTGCCCCACAAAGGTAGCATTTATTAGAAGCACATATGGGTGTCAGTCCCACACTGTCAAAGCAAATAGACTGGGTCAGTGTGGTGAAATTCTTTGTGGGGTCAGTGTGGTGTCAGTGCTGGTTACGTAAGTGAGGCTGGAGGCTCTCACTGAGTTATGTATCAAACAAACAGCAGATTATTTTCTTTGCTGTGAAGTTGAAATATCTCAACAACTATTGTACATTTTGAAGAGACATTCCTGGTCCCCAGAGGAAGAAGCCTACTGACTGTGTGTCAGACATTCATGTTCCCCTCAGGGTGAAATGCAATAACTTTTCATCTAGCGCCATCATCAGGTCAACAACACACAAAAAAAGTCAGAAAAAAGATCATGGTTTGTGTATAAACAACGTAACAACTCCGGACATGAACACTGGTCTCCTAGGTGTCCCTCTTGTGTTTGTCACACTCATCCACCACTCCCTCCAATTCCCACTCCCATTCAACTGGGCTGACAAAACTAATGTCACTCCCTTCAGCCTCAGCTGTACTTCGGGTTCAGTGCTAAGCATAAGCATCCTAACTCGCTAAAATGACATGATTGCAGAAATTGTGCCTAATCCTAATCTGCCAACATCAGCATGTTAGCAATGTCAGACAAAGAACCACTGAGCCCAAGTCAAATAAAAAGAGTTGCTCTGCAATGGAAGACAGCAGGCCAGCAGGCCTAGCAAACATGCTTCTTTTCACATGGAGGCAAAGGCTCATGGCTTTACAATATCATTTTCCATTGCTCGTTGACTCCTGGTGCATGTTACTGCTCGTCGACCCTTGGTAATTCTTAGAACTGTACATCATACGAGTTGCAGGGCGAACGAGCATGAGAGCAGAGGGTTGCAAATCAAACGTACCCTCTGGCAGGCTAATGAAGGATGAGCCACTGAAGGGTCGGTGTAGTTGAGTTTTCTAAGTAGTGGAAGATTCTCCCTCAGGGACAAACAGCTGAGGGAGAGTCAAAAGGGCTTTGTTAAAGGGCCACTCCACCAAGTTTAGACATTAATATTAGTGTAAGGGTCATGAGGAATATGTACACTGCAGTTCAAAAGCTGTAAATCTCTGTTCACAAAGGTCTGAACGGACTAAATGGTCCTTTAAGTTTTAAGCTGATAGAAAGTCTCTTTACTAATAGATGCTATTGCGTTGTTGTTTTTGTTTGTTCTGTACAATGTTTCAACCAGAAGAACATCAATATAACAGCTGATTAGTAACTATACACAGCACATGTGTGTTTCTGTGAATACAGTCGTACACTATCTTCTGTGACTCTGAAGGGGAAGAAAAAATAACTCAGATGATGTCATCGTGATGTCATGAGGGCCATCTGATCTTGAGCTTGGAGGCTACAGATATATGACAGAAGGTCTGCGTTATAAACCTGCGATGTAAAGTTTGACAGAAGAGGATGTTTACCAGGAACGACAGCCAAACAAAGCTGGTGAGTTGAATCATGGGAAATGTTTGGAGCTGAACTTTTATTAAAAGTCAAGACAAGTTTAATAATATAATATAAGTCAAGTTTAACCATTAACAGACTGCAGCAGGCTTTAAACGGTATTACTGTCATTATAATTTTGCCTTTTATTATCTTGGACTGCCACATCGGTTATTAATCTATACCAGTGTTAACACACTTTGTCAATCTCCTCTTGTAATTGCCAGCAGGAGGCTGACATGAATGACTTCTCCCAGCTGACAGGTCATATTTATGCTAAGTCTCAAAGCACAAATTCAGGAGGAGACTCCAGTCTGCCAGCTAATCATTACAGGAGCTGATTTCACAGATTTATACACATTCTCCTGAGAAGAGAGCTACACAGTCGACTCAGCTGTTGTCTGTTTGATAAAACCTGCAGATTGTTGGAGCTTCACAATGACGACACTGCTGTTCTTCTGCTGTTAGTTTAAGGTGCTAGATATGAGATGGGGAGCATTTCTATTGCCTCTTAAAGGCTCTCAACATGGCAGCTAACTGTGCCAACACACAGATAATCGCTGTGTGCTGCTATATTAATGTTCTGATTCCTGTTTGTTGCACCTTTAACCTGCTTTAAAAGCTTCTCTAACAGCGTTATTTGAAGAAGCGTCAGCAGGGACGGATGCTCCTTCTGATTCCTTTTGCCTTTTCAGAGCTTAATGAATGAGGCGGTCAAGAGAAACCGGCAACCTATCCCCAGATCGGTGCTCGCACTTTAATCTCGGTGAATCGGAGTCAAGCGGGAGCCACTCATCCGAGAGCAGCGATGTGCCAGGTTGCCTTTCAAAGCAATCATCATAAGGCCTTTTCACCGACAGCGCAGCCCCGGCCCGAGCTCACCTCCTGCCATTTGCTTTGTATTCAGCACACTATCTTCCTTCAGTGTGCCGCGGCATTATGAGAGGGATGCCGATGAAAATGACATGCACCATGTGCCCAGCGGATAAGGATCACACAGCACACTGTCGACTGCAGTCAGACATCTATTAATCTGTGTTCCTGCGTCTCTGATGTGCTGCCATGATGGAGAGTTGTGCTAGAAGAGCCACAGTGCCCCCTGGTGGAAGAGAATGAATGCAGTCTCAAGCAGAAACCTGTGTTCATGTGTGTGTTTATTGGTTTCTCTTCACCGATGTGAACTCAAACGGCTTGAGGAAATATTTAGTTACACAAAAATCAAAAATATCTCATGCTTTATTGCAAACAAGGATATATTTTTACAGAGTGGAACATTCACAATTTGGAGATGTTGAATCATTGTTTTGCTTTTGTAATGAAAAGAATAATGCTTTAATTTATGAGTCCCATAATCTTCTCGTGATTAGCTGGAAACAACTTTAGTATTAATTATATGGAAAATGGGTTTGATGGAAAGATATTCAGATTTTTTTTTTTTAGTTGTGCTAAGTTTATAAGCACATTTTCTGAAGAAGTTCGAAGAAGAACTGTTGAATTTAATGATTGGAAGCAAACCAAATGAGCACTGTCTCCACTTTCCCCATTATTACCAAATGACATACTTTGTGACCTGGGACCTGTGAAATAAAGCGTTACAGAACGTTTCAACATCTTCCTCTTTCATGTGAATGTCAAAATGAAATATACATCACTCATCGGACCACAGATAGTACACAGCTTGAATATGAAGTAGTAGGAAGAAAAAGAAGCAATGTAACAGAGTTTGATGTCCAGTGCTTGAGACAGTCCGATGTGGAAGAGTTACAGAGATATCATGTTGGTGTTAATGCATCACACATTGTTATGCAACTTGGTTGTGTTCAGTCGAGTTTCTATGTGCAATTATGTGAAAGCTTCTCTGCAGAAATGATTCTCTGTTTGATTGATCGTTCGTACAGAGGAGTAGGATGACCATGCATAAGGGGAACAAAATGAAAGGACGATTTGTTTTATTTGCATTTTAAGAATACAGTCGAAATGTTGAGAAATTTAGTCTAGTGGTTTGATTCATTCTCATTCTCAACATTTTGTCCTTGTTCTCGAAATGGTATTTCAACTTTATTCTTAACATTTTGACTTCCTTCTCAAGATCTTTACTTTATTTGAAACGCTCCTCTCATTCTGCCCTTCTGCCCGGCCCCGATACTCTTCCGTTGCTGTAGGTTTATGCAGATACAGATAATCTAAATCCTGACATTGCATCAGTGACCACCAGTTTGCTTTAATTTATCAGAGTGTAAACAACAAAAGTAGATGGTAAGAAATCCTGACATGGAGCCAAAGACATGACAAGCATTTACCTGGAGTACTTTAAATATGTTAGTTTTCATACTGTGCAGTTAAAATATCCTCTTCCTCTGTACCATAGAGCTCTAATTATTAACAACACATCAATGAGCCACACTGTCATCCCAAAAAAATGTTCAGCTGCATGGTTTTGTTTAAAGCTCAATAGTGGTTTCTACTATTGAGATTTATTCGTGTATTTATTAGGACCATTCAGATGGTGCATTATTTTTTGCAATAATGGATTTTTAGAACCTGACATTGAGGCCCGATCATCTTACGAATTATTTAATTGTATGTATAGTTAGGGTTTGTAGAACTGAAGATGGCTGGCATAGCTGTCCTATAGGGAGTAGAATTTGTTTGGGTTTGTCCGTAAAACTCATATAAATCAGTCTGTGAAATCAGTCTGGCTATCACCACTGGGTTCAGACTGACGTCTACCCCAGAGGAAATGAAAAATGAACTAGAGGACACAGCTGTGTTTGGGTGACGGAGTTGTTCCTGTGTGTTAATCCAGAAAGCGGTCCAGCATCTTCTGGATGTTTTGGAAGGAGTCTCTGCCCAGGTAGTCGGCCTGCCCAGCCTCCCACAACTGTCGATGCTCCAGCCGCTCCGCCTCTGTCTCTTTGTCTGTCTCTGTCTCTTTGTCTGTCTCTGTCTCCATCTCTGCAGCCCTCTGCCATGATCAAGTAGCAGAATAACAAATCAGTCTTCAAAGGCAGTTCATCACAAGAAACAGCAGACTCTCTATTCAGGCTGACTTTTAGCTTCTAGTTTCATCTTCGTGTACAAACAGAATGCGGTTGAGCATATCACATCAGAATGGGTAGAGTGACGTTGTTCTTTCATGCTCATCTTATGAACACTTTCAACTAACCTGTGTCTTAAATTATATTCCATATCATCTCTCAACAGACACTTTCTAATGAATTCATCTTTTATTCATGTAAATAATTTTTTAATGTGTAGGAATTAACAAGGGCAGCTTTTGGATTATATTATAAATAACTACATTTATAACTGCAGACTTGATTGATTGATGGAAAAGGACATTTTAAATATCAATAGTGAGCGCTTGTAATTAAGGAGACATTACGATATTAAAAGTAAAGGATCTTTAAATCACGCAAGAGCTGTACCAACCTCATTCCCATATTGGTCAAAATTTATATTTTAATTTTTTATACTATATTGATCCCTTTAAGGGGGAAATTTGTCTCTGCATTTGACCCATCCCTGTATATAGGGAGCAGTGGCTGCCAATGACAGGCGCCCGGGGAGCCTGGGGTTCAGTGTATTGCTCAGGTACACTACGACACGTAACACGTCCCAGTCGAGGATCGAACCATTGACCGGACCGGACCATTGACCATTGTCCGGTTCCCAGACAACCCTCTTAACCCAGTGAGCCACGGTCACCCCAATTGGTCAAAATATAAGATATTATATTTTGACCAATATGGGAATGAGGTTGGTACAGTATAAGTGAGAACACAAAGGTTTACATACAGTGTTTGAGGCGCTAGCACTGCTCTCCGACCCATGTGTCCCAAATCCTGGGTCCTGGATCTCCGTCGTCTCACATGTTCTTGACTCTTCCTCCTCCAGCGGTGTGTTATCTGTGTGGGAACACTACAGACACCATAGTCATGTCACCCATCAATGCACTGCAGTGTATGCTGTACACTACTATAAGAGCAGCTCAAAGAGTGAAATTATACAGGAGTGAGGTTCAAACAGTCGCTGCGGAGCGCTCAATAACACTGTTGATGTATGTTCACGGCTGTTGTCCCACTGGAGGCCGTGTGTCTGTTCAGGCTAATCTTACAAGCTTGTTTAAGCACAATGCATCAAGTTGAAAGGAATTAAACAAATGACAGAAATGCAATGAGAAGCTCAGAGGCCTGTGGCAGATAATAAGCTGTGTCCCTGTGTTGTGTTTTTCTGCTGGAGTCAAATGCAGTCAAGCAGAAATGCTCATGCATTAACAGGAACTAACAAGAGGCACTTGAACTGCCTAATAAGCCTCCATAATAATCCACATGACATATTATAAACACAAGCGGCTATGCTAATAAGGTCATCCATTTGACTAATTAAGGGATTGATCAGCATTTTTAATGACTACTCATTTGGCTTCACAGAACATGTGTGACTTTTAATGAACTCTGTGTCTAAAGTAGTTTTAAGGATTTCTTTTTTTCTTTCGATGGAGCTAGCAGTTTCCCCCTGCTTCCAGTCTTTGTGCTGAGCTAGGCTAACATGTCCAGACCCATCTCTCTTCTGGATTCACAAGCATGAGACTGATATCATTATTGTCAGTCTGATGGCATACATTGTGAGTGTGTATGTCCTAACCGTTATAATGTTAAATATTCTCAGATTATATAATTGGCTATACAACCACACACACTCACATTTAAAGATACCATAGCCATAACAACATCATATCGAACAGTGACACTAAATAAGGTATGTTGGTGTCTCAGCTTACTGTCTCTGGTTCAGATGGTGAATGAAGACTCCCAGAAGGGGGTGGGAGATGTACAGGCAGTGAGTTTGAACTGTTCAAGTTTTCTCTAAATGGCATCTTGGCTTCTTGTTCTTGTTCTTGTTCTTGGATCTGCAAAATAAGGGAGGATGTTGAGTGTTGGAACGACAACCAATCCGAGGGCTGGGCAGCCGTGTGTCGCGTTTGGCTGCCGGGCTGCATGTTTATGTTGCAGCCAAGCTCTGCAGCAGCTTCTGTGACTGATTAACAAACCTTCAGCTAAAGAGGGGGAAGTCATCAGTGAAATGTTCTGCTCGAGTGTTTGGAGTGAAAACCTGCAGAGCATCCGCCAGACATGGCACATGGCTGACTTCCTCCACAACAACATCGAGTGACACTGCTGAACGCTATAATCAGAGCCATTACATATGACTCAACAGTTACAGTTCAACAGTCACATATGAATGTTATTGGTGACACTTTATTTTACGGGCCCCATACCATATTTGTCATCAATCTACTGTTTATTTCTGAAGGTTCCTGGAAATGACTATGTGGTATTATACCTACAGGGAGGATGGAGATTTGATACACTTCAAATGCATTAATGCTGTTTTATTTTTAGTGAACCCTGGGAACAATTTAGTCAGAATAAACATATAAAATAAATCTACATGCAAAGGTTTTCAATAATAAATTAATTATGAATGAATATCGACTAACACGTTGCTGAGCTCATACAACTAGGGTTACAATATCGTGAATTGCATTAGATCACAGTGTGGAATATCCAGATCAAGTTCATAAGCTAGTCATTATTAATGATGTTGTAGCTCTATGTAACTTGTGCATCATCAAGTAAGCAAAGTGCAGAAACTGAGACCTTTCATTTTCTTCATAAACTTTCATTCTGACAGTGTGGAACCGACTCCATTCATTGACGTGGCCTACTTTAAGATAAAATAAAGATGTCACATCACAAAGACGTCCATACCTCTTGTTGTTTCCCTGCTTCGGATGATGGTGTGGAACTGAGGTATTCCTTCCACCACAGAGACACAAACTGCTCCATGGTGTGTGAGCAGCTCTCATCCCTCTGGCTGCTGGAGCTCCAGGGTTTCACTGCTCCTAAGAAATGGACGATCTTTGCCTTGTGGCCAAACCTGCAGGAACAAAGCTGTAACTCCAGCATGTGCTACAGTTTATCAATCTGAACAGTTGAGTGGGTAGAGGATGGCACTAACACAAGTCAGGCACAAAGTGCTGTGTCTGCACACCTTTCTATAGGACAAGGTCTGTGCATATTATGGAGCCAAAATCAAAGTTTAGATTATTTCTGTGGTTGTCACAAATTTGGGAAATCATCCTTTGTGTAAGAATATTAAAGCTGTTTGCACAAATGTTACAGAAAGATGTGCATTTTGTGTATAGATAGGCCATGGACGTTTTGAAATTAGCAGTTGCTTTGCACAGTGTAAATATAACTGTCGCAAGTATTCCCAAAATTAGACATATGTTGTAATAAGCCAAAATATACGTATATTTGAATGCAAACATACAAATTTGTGTCAGCCTGAAAAAAATGAGGTTTTCACAAATAGAAAAGTGCGTAAACAGAGTCGAGATGTATTGTGAGGACAGTAGGACACAGCGACACACACTCACTGTTGGAAAGCAGGGAGGTAGCTGTAGAAAGAGCTGCCACTGAGGTTGTAGACAAACGGCAGGTGTTTGCTGATGTCTTCAGCTGCCCAGCTGCTGAAGAATGAGTTCAACAGGCCCTGGTCCCCTCCTGACAGCAACGGAAATGTATTAATAACTGCAATGTGTACAAGTAAATAGTGATATGAATTGAATGTGGGTCTCCTCCTGGGTAGATGTCTCCTCTAAACAAGTCCTGAATGCACAGCTTTTTCTCCCCCTTCTGAAACTCCTAAAAACTGAATCTTAGTTCGAACAAACCCATTCTCTTGCATCACCTTTCAATGTTGTATGAATGCATTCAGTTGAGTTGTCAGTATTCAGAGCACACTGCGTTCTCTGCCTGTTAGTGTGAACCCAGACATCATTACCATCAAAGCTGCCGTGCTGCAGCGCGTGGTCCAGGAGCCTGCTGTGGGTGTGGAGGGACGGTCTGAAGACAAACACGCCAGAGTTGAAGCAGTCGGGCCAGCCGGGATCAGGAGCCGCCGACAGCTCGTCTCTCTCGAACAGCTCGTCCACGTTACACAGAACCTGAGAGGGAACGGGTCGATCAGAGAGCAGGAGCGGTGGATGTGTGGGTGTGACCATATACTGTACATGTGTGTGACATAGCTATTGTAGGTACGTCTGCCAACAGACAATGTTCCAGCATTGTTATTAGACTTTTGTTGTTTTAATGGTGAGTATGGTGTTTGGACTGGTAGCTATAGAGGTGAGAGGTCACCATTTGATCAAGGCACCATGCCTCTTACTGCAAGGAGTGCCTACTATGTGGCAGCCCTAGTAACTAGTTGACTGCTTGTAGTTCAATGCCATTATAATATTCATAGAATATTAGTAAAATATTTGAAGGAAAGGAGAATTGTGTAGGTGGGGGAATTTTATGAGTAAAATAATCTGAAGTTCATTACTCAGAATTATTTCCTAATTTGTTAAACAATAACATGAAAACATCGTTATTTAACATACAGGCTATAGTAGTGACATTTGGTTGATCCAGACGAGCCATAATGCAATATGTGTGCACAAGGAGATGCATGTGCGTCAGTGCAGGTATAACCTTGAGACTGCTCATGCTAACATGACAATATGTTTACACTGAGCAGACATAGACAGGGACACGCTCCAATATGTCCGCCGACATGCATGCTGGTATTGAGCTCAAGAACAACATGGGGACATTGGACAACAGTTCACAACATGACCCGTAAAAGAGACTAACACAGTATGTGGACTGATAGATAGTGATGTAAAGGAAGGTCAATAAGACAGCATGTTCACATGCTGCAGTGATTTGTGCAATATGTGCTTTGAAATAATATGCATTTATTTACACAGAGCCCTATGTGTTTGTTTCTATGAATTATTCCTCTGAAGAGTGATCAAAGCTGAGGTTTCAAATGTGTAAAACAGGATGAAAAAGAAAAGAAAGTTGCACATAGACTGGACTCCTTCGCACCGATCACAAAAACCTATACAGTCAGAATAATCTGGAACACACTCATAGAAATGTTCCACATATAGCGGGATAGCGCAGTCAACATATGTAACTGTATGTTCGGTGGACTCACAAGTGTGTCAGCATCCAGGAAGACACATTTGCTGTACTGGGTCAGAGTCCAGCAGTGGATCTTGGTGAAGGTGATGCCAAGATCAGGACGTCCCAGCCAGGACAGGTGGAGACGGTCATCACTGTCCATCACATCCACCGTGATGACCTCATCAAATACGTCCTTAAGGGCAAGTCTGACATACAAAGATTTAGATGGTTAGGGGCTAATGGTTAGCACTTCACTTCACTTTAAACTGCGTCAGAATTATAGGCTTTGACAAACTTTTATCGCCCACCTTGACTGTTCTGAAATGTTTGGTGTGACCATGACGACGGTGCTGCGAGTTGTCCCGTGGCGTTGTAAACTTCTGGCCACCACTATAGCTCCCTTGCAGTATGAGTCTGTGGTGGCCAGGGTGACGAAGGCCTCGCCTGCTACAGAATGGTCATATGACAGGATTAGATGTACTGCGCTGATATCATTGTTGACCTCACCTGGGATTAAGTGGAATGTGTTTTTGTCTTTGTAATGTAACCTCTGATCTGGATTATGGAGTCTGAATATTAAGTTCTGTACTGGCTAGTTTCAAACTGGTGCACCATTAAACCGTAAGAAATGTCTTCAGCTTTAGGGGTGTCTAAATCACTCGCTAAGAAACGTCTATGACACACTATCAACTTTGTAAACAGGAAGTAATTGTGGCATCAAAAGTAAGAATAAGTTCCCAAAATGACGGTTTTACAAAAGATACATCTTACAAATGGAGTCAAATGTTATCGGCATAATTAACTAGTTAGAAAACAGTACAAATGCACAACAATGCTATCAAATCAAGGAACCTGTCCTTGTGGGTTATGGTTATGATTAGCGCTGTTCTACCTAAGCCTTTAATCACTGATTTAACACACCACCCTGCATGTTCATGAAACACACCCAACTGTTTGACTGTGGTGTCTCACACAACATCCACAAATACAGGGAGCATGTGACTCGTAAAATGTCACATCATTTGTATCTCGTAAAGCACAATGCAGAGTGATTTATATCTGTGAATCTGTTTCTGTAGCTGTGCCTCTAATTTACAACGTCATATTTTTAGTGAAACATCTGCATGGCCTACTGTTGAACCGTCACCTGAAGGCAGCATGTATCTGATCCATCTGCAGTCTCTGATCAGAGTGATGACTGGTGACATTTTGACCAACCAGCATCAGACTGTGAACAACAGAACCCTCAACACATTGATTCAGTATTCTGCATATAGTTCCAACAGTTCAACATTTCACACTGCTCCACAAAGAACTGTGCATCATTTCAAACGTCTCTCTCCACTTATAACTTCTTCAGGACCGATCTGTCTGATCCCACCCTGTGCACCGAGAGATCTTAGTTACAAAAGCATCAAAAGTGAATTTGGCCCGCTCTCGACTGATCTGTCAGCATCACTGGGTTCACAGGTTCAGAACCTGTGGTGTCCTCTTGACCGCACATAGCAGCAACTAACTGTCCACTTGTGGAGGTTAAGAGATAAAATACAAACTGAGTACTGACAGCTCAGCTGAGGACAGACAGGATGGACGTCTGAAAAATGATGCATCCTTAATAACATGAATCAAACACCACAAAGGCAGTGGTAAAGTACTTGTCTGTGTTTCATAATTTACTGTAATATTAATTCCACAGTTTCTGATTTGTCAGCTGTTATAAAATAATGTTGATTTTCAGTTATGGAAGTCGTCAGTTTTACATTAGTTCTTCTTTGAGGTATCCATAAATGTTACATCATCACCACCTACTGGAGAGCGCTCAAAGACACAACGGTGATAAAAGAGACAAATATGTTTCCATTTTAAAATGCTAAGTTGACGATTCACAAATGAATATAAGGATTGTGAATGTTATAAAGTGATGGAAATGGGGATGTTTTTAATAAAAATCAAAATACTGTATTTGTGCAACTTCTGTGTTTCTTTACAAATGTTGAAATGCGAGATGTAAATAAAAAGGCATAGATACAGAAACAGATTCAGAGATCTTTATGTCAGTTTAACCTGGAGCAGACTGAGGAGCACTTTGTCATGAACAAGAACTATTGTACCGTGTTCTCTTTCTTCAGACAGGTGACTCTCCAGATTAGAACACACACAACCACTACTTCATTTATTTAAAGTAACAGTACTTATACTGACTGTTGTTGCGAGCTCTTTTAAATGAGGGTTGCTTAGTAGTTACTACAGTGTAGTGATTAATGTTGTTGTTGGAATGTTGGAACACAGATACAGCATTGATCTGACTTAATTCTGATGCATTCAAAACCATTTTTATTAGATGGTGATTCAGTTTGAACTGCTTATCTGGCATGTTTACTCCCATCCCATAAGAAAACATTCAAAACATGAAGGTGTCAACATGACACCAAGTGTTTGTTCTACATGTTCTACAATTCTGCTTCTAAAAATGACTTAAGCTCCCAGTGCAGCTCTATATATAACTTTGAATGTGTTGTAACTCTGTTATGTTGTTCATTCTGTACACATGACCTGTATCACGCTTCTGTCCATCCTGATAGAGGGATCCCTCCCTAAGGTCTCTTCCTCTTTTCTCCCTGTCAAAGCTTTTTTGGGGGGGGAGTTCCTCCTGTTCTGATGTGAGGGACAGAGGATGTCGCATGTGTACAGATTGTAAAGCCCTCTGAGGCACATTTGTGCTATACAAAAATAAATTTAATTTAATTGAACTTCCATAGAAAAGGCCACTGATGGTCATTGTCATTGAAGCTTTTACTTCTATAATAGGTTTTACCATCAGTGTAAAACCAGTTTCAGGTCGAATAATGACGTGTTTAGTTGTGAAAGGAGTGTCAGAGTTTCATTTTCCTGGCCGGTAGTCAGATGCAGAGTCTTGTAACCTTTTGTCTGCAGCCATCTCTGGGCGGTGTGTAGTTTCAAATTCCAATTGGCACACTGAGCATGATCACAAGGTCTATTCTGATTTCAAGTCAAACTGGGTCACTACAGTGTGCTTGATATAATTTAATAACTCGGAGAAAAGGACCGGAGAGAATTACAGTCTGTTCTCGATGATCAAAGCTGAAAATTGTCGTGTAATTTTGGGAGGTTTGTCTTTTATTTCTTTAAATTGAATTAACCTGTGTACAGATGGTCAACTAGCGGACTGAATCACCTTTATTACCAAATTAAACTCAACAAATGAGAAGAACAATTCGATCTTTTTTGTTTTTTTAGTCTACATCATTAATATTAAATGATGTCACCTACCTGACATTTTTGAAATGTTCTGCAAATCCAACAACTTTATCCACAAAGGAGATCAGGAATTGTCTTCACATGTATGCAGAAGGCCTCTCATACAGGCTGCTAGGATGCCAGTCACATCTTTGCACCGGCTGCTACTGGAACCTTAAATACTGAGAAGAGGAATTAGTATCTGATGCGCCGTACAGGGATATCACATTCCATTCTGTCATCAGAGTAAAGAGTGGAGCAGAGGCCCGGCCATGTGTGTGTTTGTGTGTGTGTGTGTCCATCTGTTTGTTCAACTGGTCATTCAACTAGTAGATAGTGAGCTTTGCCAAGTGTTGAGCAATGGTCTCGACCTCTACAGTCCTGTCCATCAGCTGATAGCTCGCTCATATAGTGTGTCAACTTTCCCTTTCCACATCTTAATGTGACGTAACTTAACAAAGCAGGCAACGACAAAATGACAAAACGCAGACAAACTGTACAACACCACTTTATTGGAAACATGTACACACACTTTGAATCCACACACAAAAGTAACATTCATCTAATCGTCAGTTGTAATATACCTGGAATAAGTCTATGCTTGTAAAACTAAGATGTGACAAAAACAATCTCCAAAAAATGCACTTCAGATTGAGAACATGAGGTTGATACTGAAAAACGAAAAAGCACACTGCAACATCAAGCCGAAAGCAAAAGTCAGCAGGCATTTATACGCATTATTACCAAGTATTTACAGCTCACAAGGGTGCAACTCTTTTTAATATTCAAGCATCATAACAACAATCCCCGGATGCAATACCTCTGATTTTATGATATGTGCTCCTCCGATAAACTGATGACTCATGAGGGAAATCAACATGATTAATGTCAGCGCACAGCTGAGCGATAAAACGGATACAATACACAGACAGCAAAAACTCTTCATCTCAACAGGTCATTTCTGCCTATGGTTGATTCCTACAAAACGTATTTTCTTAAAACAAGTGAGAAAAGTGTGAAATCATCTTGTATCAAGGAGTTGGCTTGTTTTAAAGCTGCATTAAGGGGCAGTGGAAACCGGTTATGGTTGTGATGGCAAAGATGTAAGCTTCGTTGCTTATTTACACATGCAGCAGCTGCAGAGCAACACCAGCATTCATCTGGAATCGTGTTGAAGTGCTGATGAAATAAAGAAGTGCAATAGTTATTCTTCCTCGAGTTCAGATTAGGTCTCCACAAATGAGCTAAAAGAGGCTAATTATCTGTGGTGACACACTTCACATTACACGTAGTGAGGTCAGTTCATCGATCGGTGCAGCTTATAAGAAAATAAAACTTTAAGGAATCAAATTACAGACAATGAATTTTGCAAACACAACATGACGGCAAACAAAAAGCTGATGCTCACTCTGTGTTACATTTATGATACAAAGGATTGTACATATATTGGATGTATACATGTAGTAGGCCTCTCCTTTGTGTTTCATGACCTCACGATCAGCATTTTATATTTAAAAAGCTCCTTCTGCTGGATTTAGATCCAACTACATGATGACTGTGTCTATACGACTTGAAGCATCGTTGTGTGATGCTGCAGATATCATAACTGTACAATCTCTCTTTACTGCAGAGAGAGAGAGCCTGGCCTTTTTTGTCATTTGTCTTTTATGAGCATACTCGATCAAACGTAGTAATTAATTTGCTGTTGATGCAACACTTTGTTCTTGTTTACAGGTTGTCTCGATACATTCGGTATAATGTACATGAGTTCTATCTAACAGTCATGTCACACTCACTTCTCTGTCGCTCTGAGTTTCTCGTTCTATTTTTCATTCTGGTATTCTGGCTCTGTGCCTGCTGGCTTACTGGGACCTTTTAAGGGTAACTTACATTTTTCCACCCTGGTCCCTGGTTGCTCATGTTTTTGTGTCCAAGTGACACGACAGTCAGTTGCTAAACGAAATGTAATGTAATCAGGCAACTCCTCACCGTCAATGAATATCTACTAAAAGTGCTTGTTTCTACCAACAGGCTCAGACTGAACATCTTTTCAAATAAACACTAAGCTTTCTGTACTCCAACACGACAAACTGACAACACCGGCACTTCTCTCTCCAACTCTCGCAAAAAGGTTTTATTTCTCTTTGGACTCCTTTACATAATGTTGTCAGACACTTATAATAACAATCGGAGCCTGTCAGTAGCAACACACGACATGAATAATGACGAGTTGCCAGATATGATTACATTAAAGCCTGTTTAGTGGCTCCCATCTGCAGCGTTCTCCCTTTAACACTGGAAAGAGTTTTAGTCACTTGGACACACAAACATGGGAAAAAATAACCCAAGTTAAAAAAAACAGAAGTTAGCCTTTAATGGAACTGAGCGATAGTTCATGTTGTTAAATATGTGAAGTCAAAGTGTCTGCTGGTAAAAGGTCTGCAGGTGTTAATGAGTGAATGAGGATGGTATGTGATAAAAAGAGAAAGTGAGAGCAGCAGAGTGGTGAGCATGACGGGACTGAATTAGTGCGCTGGTGTTCTTTGAGTGGTCGGAAAGACTAGAGAAGCGCTATACAAGTACAGTCCATTTACCATTAGCATTTGTCATCAGTGAGCCGCTTTGGTTCACTGTTTTATGGCCTCAATTAGCAGCCAGCTTCTATTTGTTCACGCTGGCCACGCTCCTTGTTTTATTTCAACAGCTACTTCTATTAGAAGGTTTAAGGTAATCGGTTTAGGCAGACTCTGAGGTGAACAATAAAAGGGTCGGTTCACAAAATCGAAAGAAAGAAAGAAACGTCGGGAGGCAGAAATCGCAGATTTGTTAACACATGGGCAAACGAAACAACGAAACATGCCACACATTATTTTTTCTCTCGTGCTTCGAATGAACAAACCTTGTAGGAGTCAAGGTGCTAAAAAAAATACTGAGCCAAACAGAGAGAGAAGATACCTCAGGTTTGTTTGACCCTTCTTGCCAGCTGGGGGGGTGATGAAGCAGTGATGTAGCAACTATGTCAAACCTCTGTGCATCACTGATCAACTAATTGTATTTTCAGCTAATAGTTTTGAAGTTACGCCGGGTTCACACTGGATAAAGAAGCACCATGGAGCCATTCGGTCCGGCTCGCAATCTTAAGCTACAGTTTTGGCGTCTGTATGTGATGTCAATGATCTCATGGTGAAAGATGCAGGCAGAGAGGAATTAGCTCAGTAGAAAACAGCAGAGGAGCAGAGTCACTTGTTGACTGAGGAGATGTGTTTGTGGTGTGTGCATTTCAGCTTCCAGTGTGAACCTGAAAGTTGTGTTAGAAAGTCGACAGAGAGTCTCATGTTTCAGACCAAACGTGACCGATGGCAGTCGATTGAGAGCTGGATGAAGTCGCGTCGCGTAGAGACGGTCCACTGACTTGTCTCGTGAGTCTCTCACGTCTAGGACGTCCTGAGCAGGTTGCTGAAAACTGAAAGAACAGAGCGACAAACGGATTAAAAAGAGTTCACTTCCTGCTGTGATATATATACTTTTGGATATATGTTTATACTGAGATGTAGGTATAAACATTTAACAATATGTACAATATGTTTGTTTTTTTGCTGCCCTTTTTTATATATATATTTTTTGTTTCTTGTTTATTGTAAATTTGTGTATGTACATCGAGAGCAAAGTGGAAACCGGAGTCAAATTCCATGTATGCATACACATACATGGCCAATAAAGCTGATTCTGATTCTGAGTAATATTCTGAGAAAAAAACCTCACAAATGTACAAAACAAATAATAGAATACGACAATAGAATTAACACTGCACGCTACTGAATCATTAATAATAATAATAATAATAATAATAATAATTCGCTGACAGGCCACTCTGCATAACGAGTGCTTTTACTTATGATACCCTGAGTACACCTGTATCATATAAGCTGTAACAGTTTTTCTCTTTCCATGAATCTGAATACACAAGAACCCACCTTGGGGATCAGACTGAGTACCGTGGTGGCCTTTCCCGCTCTCTGGATCTACACCTGCAGAAAAAACATGTCAGCAGTGTGATAACGGAGTCACGCTTCCTTGTATTTGTGAATCTGTCGATTTCTATCTATATACGACGTTGTAAAAACATAGCGACCTCCTTGCAGCTTGAAGCACAGCTTTTTCTTCTGGTAAGCTACGTAGCTGGTCACCGCTCCCAGCAGAGCGACGCCGATGGCGCTGGCGATGCCTGCAATCTTTCCAGGTCCAGCTTCTGCAGGACAGAACACACACACACACACACGTGTCAATTTCACGGGTTAATTGCTACTGAGGTATAAAATAATTCACATGTATAAACTATACTTTAGAGAAAAAAAATCATATATGCTTTCTTTGAGAACATTTTCATCTTCAAGAAGAATAATACAGATGTTGGTATATCCTTGTGTCTGATTGGCTATTCCTGCTCAGAGCGGACATGTGATGAGTCATGCGATCACTTTTTTATTTTTCTCTCCTCATGGTGAACACATAGCATCCTGAAGTTTCATTCTTTTAGTCGGACCGTCGTTCCTAAACCGTGAAGTCATAACCTCAGTTTGCCACAAGGTGGCGGCCAATGACTGTAGATGACGGATGTGCTTGTAACCAGCAGAGAGCTCCCAGAACACACTGTACAGAGCGGCTGAGGTTCTAATGTTGTGACACGAAACAACAAGAGCAACCCGTCTGCAGTAAAACCAACACAGAGAATAAAAAGAGGGATTCAAAGTGAACACACCCAAGCTCCAGGGCAGGGCGCGCGCCACACACACACACACACACACACACACACACACTCACACACTGGCAGCATACATATTGAGTCATGAGGGAGAGGAGTGTCTTGTGATGTTGCAGTGTGTTAAAATGGGGTGTCGCCTGGACAGAAAAAAGAAACACAGGACACCTCCAGCGTTCAGCGTGACTAGCTGCTAGGAAATGCTGAGCATGTACACACACACACACACACACACACACACACACTCGCAGCACACTTTAGGGGGATCTTGATCCCCACATGGATCTCATACCGCCCATTTCAGTACTTTGTTTGTTTTTTATGAGAAAGAAAGTTTACAACACAGCACACATATCTGCATATGAATGATAGAGGACGATTATACGCATCCTGTTATGTGGACAATGATACCTGTGGCTTAATGTTGTACACTGTAAGAAGTCTTCCTCAGGGGCCCCTGAGGGCCTCAGGTCTGGGGACTGGAGTCAGCCCAGTGTGTGTGTGTGTGTGTGTGCGTTACTCTGTTGGTTCTGCAGATGATCACAAATCCAACACATTGTGAAGTGAGCGATGACCGTTCCACATGGGTTTTTATTCATTATGCTTTATACATCTCATGACTTTACATTGCAATCATTGCGGCCATGCTACAAAATCCCATAAAGACTTGAGGCAAAAGTTTAAAAAAAGCTTCAACTACAAAGAACCCGCCAAAATAAATATGCTGACCGTTACCAAAGACAAGACAGAGAACTACTCATGAGCTAAAGAGAGAAACATCATCTGATCCAACTGATCTAAAAGTGAAGTTAATCGGAGACAATGAGAGGACAAACACCTCGACATGCTGGATCTGTCAATGCTGAAGAATGTGAAGAATGTGAGCAGACTGCTGCTGACTGTGGAGGAGAGCAGCCGTGTCCCCACAGCCCACAACACGCATTCACAAAGACCTGATGCAAACATAACGTCAAGTTTATCTTGACTGAAAATATATATTCTGAACTCCATAACAGCTTCTACACATGAAGGTAAAACAGAGCATCAGAGTCACTGACTCATCAACTCAGACGCTTCAATCAATCAAATATATTCTATCGTCAGAAAAGTACCAGATCCACTCACACGTTAAAAGAAACCATGCACCATATGAATATATATGAGTCATGGCACTGCTGGGTGGGGAGTGACAGAACAATGAGTGTGTGAACATGCCTAAATACAGGGTGTCTGGTAAGTTTGGAATAACAGGGATGAAGTCGACTATATCTTATTTCTTGCAGCGCTGACAATAGTTTATAGTCTTGGAGAGGTTCTTCATTTTCCAGTTCAAGCACAGACCTGCAGCTGTGAGTGTCCATGAGACGGAGGAAGCCAGAGCTCAAAAGGCACAGGAAGTGTGTACAGGGTTTCAAAATAAGATGAGAAATGAGAAGGAAAAAAAAGTATCCCGGTAGTATTCCTGACTTTTCAAACACCCTGCTATGTATTTTTCATCCAGGACCGAGAACATCAGTAACGACTGTAACCCTCAGACCTGAGAGCCAATCACAACTTAAAGGGAACATTCACCACGTTTAATGTCTAATCAGTGTTGATGGTATGGAAGCAGTTCATTCCTCAGTGCTTCATAGCTTCAAAGGACTACATTTACCATCAACCCTAACTGGACGAGCACTTAAAAGGTGTCAAACGCTCCCTTTAAATGGACTGGCTCATTGCACAGCCTGCAGCAGATCCATGGCCCTCTCTAACAGAGGGGTCAACATTTGCTTTAAGTTGGACATCCACATATAGAATTCCTCGGGCATGTTAGCATTTAGCATCTTCAGGATTTGGCCCCACAGAAGGTCTGGATCTGCAACGACACACAATCGAAGCAGGGTTTTAGCCAGAGGAACCAGACCGGGGCTGCTAATGTGAAGAACACTGACTTATGTGAGGGGAAATGAAACCGAATGCAGCTGATCGAATAAGTGAAGTGATCCAGCTGACAATGCCCACGATTCAAATAAGAGGCTGACAAATGTACAGCGAGGTAAAGAGCTGCCGCTGCCTCCAGAGCCACAAGCAAATATGTGACGGCGGCATGTAAAACTAATAAAACACCAACACAACAACTGTTGGTTCAGAGAACACAACTTCCTCTGAGGCGGGGAAAGGGGAAATGCCCAACAAGAACTCCAGGAGAGATCGGTCTGCAGGGAGACATAATGATGCCCACACTGACACAAAGACAGGAAGTAGATCCACAAGAGCACAGAACGAGAGCAGACAGGGTTTTACCTTGAGGCTGATCGGCTCCACCTGTGAGAAACACACAACGCAAGTCAGTTTATGAGGATTAGGACGGCCAGATATTGTTGTCAGTGAGGCCTTTCTGCTCTTCTGTATTAACTATAATAGGTAGAATAAAAAACATGAGGATGAAACATACCCTGATCGTAGCCGGAGTCCGACGCTCCACCTGGATTCAAAAGACAGAAGGAGAAAAGTCAGTCAGACCTCAGGCTGAAGTGAAACTCTACGTATCTCTGTGTTGCACTTACTATAAATAGAAATAGACACAACAGATCAGTATTGCTGGCTCTGAGTGCAGTAAGCTGCAGTTAATAACAGGTTAGCATAGCTGCTCCTTCACTAACACCATGGAGCAGAAGCTCATCTGAAAAGCAGCCATGTGGCTCCAATTAGGCTGGAGAGCCTGTGGGTTTCTATTTCCTTTTTCTTTCCCTGGTAGAGGAAGTAATTACTTCCATGCTCTGACTAAACTAGAGCACAGAGACACAAAACAAAGAACAACAGCGTCGGTACAGGACAGAAACAGAGAGCTTTCAATCGTCGTCTGAGCGATGCGGAATCTTAGAAAAAAGGATCAACAATAGGCCTGCAGCTTGTATCTATAATACCCATGACTCATCATTTACTTACTATTCTTCTGAGCCTCATATGGTGCAAAAATATATTGACATGGAAATCTGTGTGCAGAGATTGAAGCCCGAGCACCTTTTACTCTCTGTGGCCTTGATTTTGACTGCAGTATACAAGTCCTGCACCTCTATGACAAAACAATGGAATCTATATACTCAACATTTCTCCAAGTGTCCACAAGGAGACACTTGTCCAAACAATGTTGGACAGAAATGGAGGCTCCACCTGCTATTTACTGTTGAACAACCTGCTTTTCAACCGTGAGGTTCTGGATGTGTAGGGATATACAGTTAATCCTCCGATCGACAAATGAAACAATAGCACAGCTCTGACCATATAACATGTGTGTGCATGTGTGCTTTGTAGGACTGAGGCACATACCGTGGAACCAGTTTCCTCCTCCTCCCTCCACATCTCTCTGTAACTGTTCACCCCACTAACCATGCTCACTCTCCTTCAAGCAACCAGAGTCAATGGTTCAAAAAGTGGCACGAGACCCGTCTCAGTTTTGTCAGCATTACGGTGACATTTAATAAATGTTGTGACGTTCTCTGGAGAAGGGTTTTCATATCAACATATGTATCTAGCAAAGATATATATATATTCTACACCAGCATGTTAAAAGTACACCGGCGTGCCATGTTGGAGTAAACTCTGCAGTGTGACAGCTGATCAGGCTGCTGGCTCCACAGTCATGAGTGGATAAAAAGCGCTGGTGGTGCTGATGTCTTACCTCCACCTGGGCGGCCTCCATCAGGCTTGTAGTCTCCACCACTGACATCATCTAAGTCGGAGAGATCAAAATTTCCTCCACCTTCAAGAAATGAACAACACAATGTAAAACAAATCACAAACTGTAGATTAATGACTTCTAATAGTTACACTACGAACCACTTTCACAAGGACATTCATTAGGATAAGGATAAACCCACTGCTATATTTTCTCAGGGTTGAAATGACAGCGGACTCACCTCCACTGCTTGGTGGCTTCACGGCAGGTTTATCAGGTTTGGAGTAGGGATCTGTGGGTACAAAGACGTTTACATGTCGTAGACACAAAGGCTCAGCGGTTAATCTGTGCAGACGGATTGAATTAGAACATTTGGCTGCTTAGCTTTCATTCTTGGACAATAATAATACAAACAGGAAAGCATCAGCCATTAAAACTCCACACTGGGGAGACCTTCATTGCCGGGACCGAGAGCGTCCTCCAGATCCAGTCCAAAGCCACCTAGAATACACAAACACACAGCTTTCACTGATCAAATCATAACTTATCATCCTGTTGCATCTGTAGGCAAAGCTTGTTTACGTAACTATATCAATGTGATTTTCATCAAGTTTATTTTGTGGCTTTTTTTGCCCTTATCTTGATAGTCAGCGCAGACGGAGACAGGAAATGTGACACAGTATCGGTATCAGCTGACCCACATATACCCAAAACTATCTTCACGGCCCAAACCACGAGAGGTACGAGGGACGCCGTTAAACCTACCAGAATCTCCAGAACTTGGTTTCTTGGGTTTTGGAGTCGGAGGCTCATCTGTGGAAAAAAGTATATTAATTTAGACAAGAACAACTAAACATCTGTATGACAACTGTTCAGTCGGAAACACCCATATCGCATTACCCATAAACCTGCCATGACTGCTTCACAGCTCACACTGGCATTATGTTTCAAACAGCAGCTGGCACATTTTAAAGTTCAAGAGAGCACACAACAGAAACACGGCAGCTTTAACCTGCTCAGAGTCATTTACCTGGTCCAAAAGCGTCCGAAAGGTGCAGCCCACCTGGAGGGGAAAGCAAGTAGAACACGTGAATTAGTCCAGACCAACTGTCTCATGCAAACTGAGCTAAAAAGTTACTTTTACTTCTTTGTAATTACAACCACATGAAGTTACACTATCAACCCGGAAGTAGCTCCACGAGATCAAGGGGTTATTTAATGTCTGTCTCTTTTGTTTTCGCTTCCAAATAATGTGGTTCAGATAATGTCGTTCGGGTGTGGACCCGTCTCAAACCTGTCTGATCACTTGTGTAGTTTCCTAGGGCACTCCATTGTAAAGCTGTGTGAGGAGTGAACTGAAATACAACCCCGGGTATAAATATGTCCGGATGTCCCGTTTCACGGATTATTTTAATAAAATAGGAAGTGCCTGCAAAACATTATATTTGTCCAATAACACCTCTTCCTTAACTATTGGATTTAACGACATTGTGCAAATACCTTTGGAACTAAAGACATTCCCATCAGCCTTGGCTGTGTTCAGTGCAAACTAGGATGGTGAACATGGGACACGTCCCACAGTCATCATGGGTATGTAAAGGTTCAGATGCTAGTATTTAGCACCACTGTGCCAAAGTACAACCTCAGAGAGCTGCTAGCATGTAACAGATGGACCTCTGGGACAGGTAGAAGGATACAAACCATCACTGTTAGGCTTCTCTGGGGCCTTCGGCTGCTCTTTGGGCTTTGCAAGTGTTGGCTCTGAGGAACACAAGGAATTGAGCAGCGTTACTATCTAACAGCCGGTTAACATTTCTACCCAGCATCCCCACTGTTCCTCTTAACTTTACCCTTTAAGTATATGTGGACCAAAAACATTCACTAAAGGTCCACTTACGAGCTTTTTCGAGTGCATTCACAGCCTTCCTCGGCAGAAAGGGTTTGCTCAGTTGTGATGGAGATTATTCGGACATGTGAAGCTTCATACTTAGGTCATGTCACAACAACCCCCCGAAGAAGACCATGAGTTGTGAATGAAAGCTCTGGTAAAAAGAGGATTCTGAGGGTTTTCTTTACTTTTCTATTTGTTCATTGAAGTTTACAGTGTGCTGTGTATTTGTTCAACACTCTATAAAGACTCGACAGTGTACCATGTGACCCACAGCAACCCCTACCCGATAAGATTCACCTGGTCTGACCCAGGTCCAGGGTCAGGTTACCAACCACATGGACCAGTGAAGGCTATACATAGATCATATAGTCACAGTGGGAATAGGGACATTAAAAAAGATGGCCGTAAAAACATTATATGTACTGTTTGTATATGTGGTTGTGAGAGTACTCGGAGTATTAGATACAATAATACATCATTAATGAGGAAAATACAAATTACAGACTCTGGATATAAAACCCCATTGACACATCTGGAGTATCCACTGATTGTAAAAAGTCTTGCTACAGAGAAAGTCACTCACCTGGATCCAGAGCATCGGACAGGTCAAACCCTGTGTGAGGAAGACACGAGGAACATTGTTACAAACCAACAGTGGAACTCTGAACTGATCCACAGTCGGCGCTCGATCAGCTGACCAGAAGGTCTTCCTCTGCAGCCACTCAGCACTCTGGGGTTTTCCCCTTCATAGTGGAAGCACATGTGTTCTGTGTTTGGGTGTTGTAAGGACGTCCTGCAGTGTATTGGTCGGTTCCTATGGCAAAGCTGACTGATACACATGAGTCACTGAGACTAGTGAGTCATTTCCCCCACAGAGAATCAGATAACACTTTTTGCCCAGGAGACAGAAAAACAGCTGACATACTCACCCATAAAAGTCTTACTTCAATGACAGGTTTATCTCTTACGCACACTCAGACTCCATGTGTCCTGATACAAGCTTCACAGTATCATTCAAACGCAGTTACACCAACATCAAATATGTTCACGTGATCAGCGCTTCTTGAAGCAGCTTGCAGCAGCTAAAATGAACTGTTTTTACGGTGAAGCAGCTGTGCAAGAAAAAGTGAAATTTAATGGAATGAATTCACTAATTGCGGTCTCTACGTACTTTAGGCTAAAAAGACAACAAAGGAAGTAATTGCTTCCAACAAAACAGCAAAATACAACCAAAGAACACAACATAGAACGTTCCCCACAGAACAGAACGCTGTAGGTGTGTCACATTAACACTATGATGTTGGTATTCCTAGTCCATTCAACTCAGAGGTTTAATTCATATTTAATATATGTATTTATTATTTTTTTCAGATTCCAATTTCCAATTCCTCTGGCTCAATATAGCATCTGAATATTACGAGATCACTGCAAAAGTCTGAGTCCCTTACATTCAATATGGCTAATTCATCTTCCTGCTATGGTTAGACTAACACCAGTTTGCCTGCAGACTATTTCAGGCCAGTTGAAGTAATTTACATGTAATATTATCACTTCCTTTTTCTTACTGCCATTAATGTTTATCATGTTCCACATGCTATTCCAGAACAAATAACCAAAAATAAATCGTACACAAATTTTACAGATGTCGAATCGCTGCAACAGATCAGCATCCGCCTTGATTGAGCTACAAAATCTGGGTCGAACCTCCTTCAACCACACCAAAGTGCCAACTGCTTGTCATGTGCGTGCCTGTGGTTTTCTCTAGCAGCTCTCGTCCTCACCTAAACAGGAAGCAGAGGCTCTGAGCATTTGTTCTTCATCTGGAAGAAGCTTTGCTGTGGTTTCAGTCTTTCAGTCTGTAAGTGGCCCCATTGCTACTTTGTCAGTTTTACTTTTCTACATGTATTCTTACTTTACGGTAATGACTTAATCAACACTATTCAGCTCTTTAGACACAAGAGCATTAGTGCACACTGATGTCGGGTAACAAGGCCTAAACATAGACTGTATACAAGAAGTGGACAATTTTGGCCGTCGACATCTTGTTTTTTTGCAACCAGAAGTGCTACAAGAGGGTGGAGCTAAGTACAACCAAACCAAAATGTTACAATTAACTTCTATGAATGGAAAACACACAGTGAAAGGGTTAAATTTGTAAGACAAAAGCATGGACAACACCCAGACAATGCTGTGTAAGTGGGCTGTCAATCACAAGGTGGCCCCGCCCTAAAGCATCCCCTGCTTTATGGTCTGTTTGACTCTAATTGGACCATAATGTACTAAATGAACATCATGCTGTATTGAAGAAGACTTGAAACTAGAGATTGAGAGCATAAACTCATGTTTACAATGTTTACTGAGGTAATAAATCAAGAGAGAAGTAGAGTCATTTTCTCATAGACTTCTATACAACCAGAGGAGTCGCCCCCTGATGGACATTAGAGAGAATGCAGCTTTAACACACTTCTGCATTGGCTTCACTCGGCAGAACCGGTGGTTGCTGCCTGCTATAACTGGACATAAATAAGTGTTTTTAAACGTTGTGTGTGTGTGTGTGTGTGTATCCCAGATGAAAGTCTGGTAGGGAGTTCCCTCCCTGAATCTGCTGCGCTGGCTCAGTTCAACAAGTCCTGGGCGGAGCTCACTGATTGGCTGACCATGCTGGATAACATGGTGCAGAACAAGCGCGTGGTGGTGGCTGACCTGGAGGACATCGACGACAACATCAGTGGGCTTAAGGGAACGGAACACGAAACGGAACACGGAACAGAATACGGAACGGAACACGGAACACGGAACAGCACATGGAACAGAATACGGAACATGGAACAGAATACGGAATTCAGAACACGGAACACGGAACGGAACACGTGTTGAGGAATCGCCCCCTGATGGCCATTAGAGAGAATGCAGCTTTAAGACACTTCCGCACTGGCTTCACTTTTGAGAACCGGAGGTTGCCACCTGGGCCTGGCCCACAGTCAGCGTTCCAGATCATCCGAAAGGTTGAACGGGGTCGAGGTCAGGGGAACTATTTCTGTAACATTAAGATTTCCCTGAAGAAGGATGAGGAGCCTTGTCCAACCATAAATAACCATGTTCTAGTGTACTGTTCAGCTGTAAAATGAGAAAGCAGTCAAGTCGAAAACCAAACGCCGCCCACCGCCTGGAACGACCTCATCTCATCATCTCATCCAAATAAAATCATTTGTAAACATGCAGATTTACAAAGATTTACAGTTAATACATTCGCACAGTTAACTGAATAAATAAAGTATGAAAAATACTTTTTTTAATCTTGGTGTGGCACTAATAACCACATGGTTACTGTTTTAGTGGCAATTTATATAAATAAATAAAAAAGGTTAAACTTTGTAGCCTCTGTCCGGCTAATATGTCAAATGTCCTGCTAGAAACACACTTTAACAGCAGGAATACTACTTAAGAGAGTTTCCTTGCGTCACTTTAGAAGACAAACCCCTAAAATACATAACGCCATAACCATAATTACACGCCCTGCCGTTGCTGGTAATAATCCCAATAGTGTTTCTTACCGCCTTCCGTTAACGTTCCAGTAACGAGTAAAAGGAGTAACGCAATCCTCAAACACAACTCCATGGTGGCTGTAACGTTACTTTCCAGTAATCAGCTAAGTTAGCTTATTGCTGTAAACTTGGTCTCCGTGCGTCGCTTCAGCTAGCGGGTATTTGTGGACTCTCTCCCGGACTGAACAGCAGACCTCCCCCGGTGTCCTGTTACAGTCTGTCGGTGTGAGTCAACTTCTCCAGACCGGGTGTGGCCACCTTATCAGAGGGGCGGCTCATATATATATTTTTAAACACATGTGACTTACAAACATAGATGCAGATAAAAAAAAAAACAATTTAAGGCTTCCAACTTTTTACTGAAATATTTCGGTTCCGCCACCGGAAATGCGTTCATTTTACGCCGAAGTGTATTCACAAATAGTGCAGTTTATTGTTCTTCTTGCTTTAAATAGAAAATAAAGACCTCGGAAAAGTTGGACGTTTGCATACGAATGACTATAATCTGCTACTGGATTCTGCGCACATTCAGGGACACAATCACAAATTTAAACTCCAATATTAGAATAAATGTAGTTCCACGTGTTCCAGTTCCAGTTCCAGTTGAAACTGCCCCATGTTCAACTGACCCAACATGGGGCACTCATCATGTGCCACCTAGTGTGTGTGCACGGCTTTCAATTTGACTCGTTGCTTCTGTCCATGTCTGTCTTTTAAAGCCATTGTGAATATATTCACTGATGATGTGACGAGCAGGAGTCCAGGGTCGTAAGCATGTGGCTGTCTTAACTATTTATTCTAAAGGTATATTTCACCTTTTTATTCCTCTAAGGAGAGGAGAGGTTATTACTTGTTCCTTGTTTTTCAATGAGCACAATAAAAGAAATGCTTGATGAATAAACCAGTCCCAATACTCACACTTGCAGTCTTTAGCACTTAGGTGTGTGTTCATGTGAAGGTCAGAAAATAAGAGGGAAGTTATTCCAAACCATTTAACTCACACTTATGCATGCTTTATGTCCCACAGTCTCCTGTATCATATCAGTCCAGTTGTTGGCTGAATAATCCAGTTATGGTTATTGTACCTTCAGTGAAGTAAGTAAAGAAACCATCTGTCATTTGTCTTATGTACACCAGAATATTTTGGGTGTATGTTCAACATTATGGAAAAAGGAAAACTGGGCAAGCAATTTAATTTAAGGATCATTTTTAGATATGTTTTGGAGGTAATAAGAAGGAAAAAAATACATTTTATTTTGTACAGTTCATTTTAGGAAAAATACCACAATCAGAAGAAGAGATGAGTATAGACTCCAAAACAAATATTGGACTTTTTTTTTTTTTTTATACAAAACTGCATCAATATGGCACCATGATAATAAAGAATAATTAGGAATGTTAAGAATACGAAGATAACAAAAACATTTTGTTTGATAAATTTATTTTCATTTTACTTTGTATATGTACCCTAAACATGGGCAGTTTTGCGTGTCCATATGTTAATGTACGCATCTTAAAGGAAGTAATGAGCTATGACAGAATGTCATATTAACAATTTCTTATTCCTAATGGTTCTGATAAGATAAATGCTGAGATAAATAAATATCGCACAATTTGATCAAAGCTTTAGAGAAATATATTCCTTTGTCATGAAGATTTTATCAGAAAGAAACCATTGAAAATGATATATGTCCCATATGTACAGTAGACCTATTGATACCTTTGCTTTATTCATTGTACTCCCCTCAGCTCCTAAGTACGCATTCATTTGAACTATTTTTCTCTTACAGTCCTCCGATTGTAATACTTTGGTTGATACTTATTTATCCAACAAATCATCTGAAAACCTCTGAATCGTATAATGTATATAGTATTTGTATTTGTGTAATGGCCTCATTAATCAAGTCTGTCTGCATCACCATATACAGTCTACAAATCACTCATTTGAAGCAATGATTGGCACATGTTAACCAAATAATATCAAGCTTATACAAATGAACGAACACACAAGTCCACCATTCATGATCCTCTTTATTGATCCTCCACCAAGCTCATCACGATGCTCGGATGTTCTGGAGACATCCGTCTCACAGCTCGCTGCACGCCGAGTCATCACTTGTGCATTTACAATACAGTAGATGAGTGTTGGCATTCATGATATAAAATATAAATGGCATCAGTTGTGTAATGATCAGTAAAAAGCATTAAGAGGTGCAGGCGTATTGAGGGAGGTGTGATCATCCAACAAGTCTTCCTCACATCTGAAAACACAAGCGAGGTTCAGTCAGTGAGTCTCTATGGACTGTTAAAGCCACGGGAAACGTTTTAGTTCACAAAGATGGGAACAGAATGGTACTCACACAGGTCGTCCTGTGTCTCCGTGCTTAACGCCCGTTATAGAAGCGAGAAGAGGGAGCCCTCTGCTTCAGCAGCAGCTTTTGATTCTCAAGGACCTCGTTCAGTTTTTCAACAAAAATTTGCTGGCAGACTGAGTTCAGAAAGATGTCATTTAATGCATATTGGTTTATTATATGTCTATAACACAGCTCAAGTATAGTAAAATATACAATACTTCATAACTGCTGGTCACTCACTGACTGCAAAGGTCATAGTGCACTACAATTCCCATTGTTGTAATACATTGTAATGTTCTCATAATGCATATAATCATTGTTATAATTTACTATAACGTGTTCATCTAGTAAAGTGGAAAAAATATGAATTCTACAAGAACACAACAGTGTAAATTTACTTTTTGAATTTTGACTTGTCAGTGAGTGACCAGCAATTATAATCAATTATGATCCTAGACCTTATTAATAAATGCTTCATAATGTGTTATGATTATTGGTGTGAAGAATTATGAACATTTATGATAATTATACAGTGGTATATAATATTTACACAGGCGTCATAAACAGTGTTACCAAAATGAAACATGATTTTAATAATGATGTAATAATGCGTAACTAAACAGGCATGTAATAACAGGAGGTTTAGACTCACTTCCTCCACTGTCATCAACAGGTTTCTCAGCTGTGGAACAAGAACATCGGACGAAACATTAGTGGTCAGGAAGCATTTTACCAGATGCCTGTAGATCTGTATCCATATACACATGTGGCATATGATCATGCTGATTGAAGTGATCTATTTACAACATTTAATATTTACATTGAAATTGATTTTTCTTTATGGCTGTTTTCAGATTTATGGAGTTATGCAAAGAGATATCCAAAGTAAATACCGTTGACTCAAATATGTCAATAAAATCAAACAATTCATTTTGAACCTGCTCAATGTTCAGATTTATGTTCTGGAAATGTATGAAAATTAGCTCATATTTCATTAAAATAATGCCTCATTTGCATATTAAAACATAACATTTCAGAAAACATGTAATACAAATAATAGAAATACTATAAAATAGTTCAAATGTAAAGTAAAAGCACATAATGTACAATATGTAATATCAAATTTAACAGGAAGGAAATATAAAGCGTAAACCTTAGACTGAGAGCTTTACCTGGATGGAGAGCATCTTCCAGCTTGAATCCAAAGTCATCTGGAATGAAGAACATTTTACAATTCAGATGATTGTCTTCTTGATTATTCCATACATGTTAGTTGTAAGTGGACGTTTTGTGTACTCACGTCCTCCAGAAGGCTCGGAAGATTTGGGATCTATTGATCAACAGATAAAGTGTTCATTCATACCACAATATATCAACCTGAAGGGATTGTGACTGAAAAACACACACATATAAATATATATATATTACTTGATGTATAAATATTGATCATTCGTATGTTTGCTGTCACGTAGCCTGCAGCTCAGTTTTAATGTTCCTCTACAGTAAAGATTGAGGTCAAAGGTGATATGTTGATGTGTCAGTGCTGTGTTAACAGCTTGTTCTGCTGCCCCCAAGTGGCCAAACACTCATCCTACAACTCAAGAATAAACTACTAAAACACAACCATCATAGCAAAATGTTGAAATAACTATAGAAAAGCAGTAATTAAAACAAAAACAGGAAACAATAAAGGTTGATTATAATCAATATTTGGTATTTATTATTGCTATGTTAGGTCAATATTAGTCGAACCTTAGAAACTCTTTTAAAAGTTGAATATCACAGTCATTACCTGGATGAAGAGCATCAGCCAGGTCGAACCCAAAGCCATCTAAAAAGAAATGCAGAATGTCAAATTGAAGAAAAATTCAAATAAAAAGTGTATTTACTCATATGTATTATGTGTATTAGTAAGATGTTTCACCTGCTACAGCAGGTGTTGGTTTAGCAGCTGCTCCTGTAAGATAGAGAGGCATGAATAGAAGGACTCACTGTCCTCACTAGTTCTCCTTGTTTGGAGAACAAGGTAAAGCAAATGCAACCCCAGCATATATGTGCTGATCAAATATTACAGCTATCCATATGAACATTCTGCTAAGTGTTAGCTTGCACTGACGCTACTCACCTTTGCGATTGAAAAAGCCACTCAGTCCTGATTGAGAAAGACATGAAGACATGAAGAGTCACGACCAAACACAAGATTAACAACCATTCAGAGATCCCCTCCCTGCTTCAGTTACAGCCGCCAACATTCAGTCATGATGTGATTGTTGAAACTCAGGGTGAGTGTGCTTAAACACATGATGTTGGTCTGGAATAAAAGGCGCAGAACAAATAGTCAACATTGAACAAATATAGTGATAAAGTAACTTTGGCTTGTTTTTCTGTGCTGATAAACAATTACTACGTTGACAATATCTGAGCTATCTATTCCCCATAACAGAGAAGATGTGACCAGTGCGTCTGAAGCCTTTGAACACTCACCACTAAAACGCTTCGGTCGCTGAGCAGCTGCTTCACGGTGGAGATCTGTGAGCACAGAAACATCAAGTACATCAATAAGTACAAAAACTGAGAATACAAGTTCCTGTCTGTTGCATTTGTTATGTAGTTTATCATATCCATTCTACAGTGTATAAGATCACGAAAGGTCTTCTTGTGAATGTATTATTACTGATGTATAAAGCATTACTACATGAACAACTCATTTCGTTATTTGTCCTAAAGGTCCCTATGAGCAGATATTTAAAGATTTAGATATCTTGCATCAGGGACACAAAAATTGTGACACAAGGCCAGATTATCAACTCCGACCCAGGCCGTCTGTGTGGCAATGAGTCTGTGGTGATTTCATCATTACTAATGTGTTAGACGCACCACTGAAACACAAGTAAAACCTGAAGCAGCAACAAGTCTAATGTGTTCATGTTGGGGGTCCATGTCTGTTTGGTGGAGTCCCTGTTGAGCTGGACTCAACCTGACAGACATGGACCCCCAACATGAACACATTAGACTTGTTGCTGCTTCAGGTTTTACTTGTGTTTCAGTGGTGCATATGTTAGGTTCAAAGAATCCACTAGATGTCGCTGTGTCAAGTCTCCTCAGTCCGTGTCCTGATGTGTATATAATGTATATATACTAATGTTTTAGTAGTAAGTAAATGTAATGTACTACTAAAGGTAGTGATGCTAAAGCAAAACTTATGAACATCCACTGTTATATGTAATGTCGTTCCATTAGATATTTGATCAAATCTATCTATTATTGTAGATTTCTTCAAAGTGTGGTAAATATCTAGAATACATAGGTGGAAATAATTAAAGTTATTATAATACTTTACATTTTACGGTTCACACACTTTTCTGGCCCTCATACAGAAGAATTGTTGTTTGTTACTATTGCCCCAAAGAAGTAAAAAAAGAGAAATAACTTTTTAGTAAGGAAATTAAAAAGTTAATAGTAATAGTTGGTAGTAATAAAAGCCTGGGACGCTTTGTGTGAGCCCCTATGAGGGAGTGGTGCTGGGATTAGTTACACCACAGGTTTAATACTTGGGCGGCAGCAGAAACGGTGCAATGCTGAGGTGTCTGATGTGCTCATCGGTCAGTATCAGCCTCAGAAAGCCACAGCAAGCAGGACAATGTTGTTGCTGCACCACCAGTCCTCTGACCCAACCTCACGGTTGGGCCTTTTAGATCATGCATATAACCATGCTCTGCATTAACATGGACAGGCCCGACTTCCTCTGGTACCACTGAGGGGACTGAGTGTTTCATTAAGATCTTCTTGTATGATTCTCAACAGGCCACTCACCATTATCATTGGGGGCTTCGGAGAGGTCCGATCCTGTAAGATGAGGAACACGTCAGGTTATCATGAGTAGCACCAGTCGGAGCGACAGGAAAACATGCGGTTCACTTCTGTGTGTTTGTGTGGCCTACGCCTGGACCAGCAGCCCAGACGACATGTGCTCAGTGTTAGCATGTTGCTCGGAGTCATACAGCGTGGTTGCTGGGTTCACTGCCCTTGGACACCATGAGTCACTAGGAGGTTGTTTCCCGACAGAAAAGCCTGCATGTCAACACTCCTTAACCAAGATGTTGTAAACACAGTGGGTGGAGCGGTGAAACGAAGACCACTAATGCTGCCACGAATACTCACGAGAGAGCACCAAATGTGGATTAATCCGCTGCTGAATATAGTCCCCAACAGAATTCCCCCGTGTTTTAAGTGACCTTTGTTAGAAGCTACAGTGACAAGCTGCTTTTGTTCATTACTGAGCTTCAAATATGGGAAATATTGGATAATTGTAGCCGAGTGGTCGATTCCGGCCTTCTTCTTTAAAACAAAGTGTGCACTGTTTGTGAGATGATGCGTCTTCAGCGGAGAAGTCCTAAAGAATTCAATGATGCACTTTGATTCAAACTCCAAACTCCTGACATGTGCTTTAAAGATCAAACAAGCATAGTGAACACCTGAGAACACTTATCATCCACATGTCTCCTCATGACTTGTGTTTTATTCCGATTTGATTTCACCTCCTCTTGTTCTCTGCTCTTCCAGGGAATGAAGATCCGGTGAAAGGATTGTCGGCAACATGGACGAGAGGTTCTGAGAGTGCTGAGATAAGGGATTATAATGCCGCCAGACTGTCTTTTACGTACACACTCGCTAGCCTAGCTTGTGCAGCTATAACGTCAGCTAACAGCAATGTTCTGCTAAACTGGCTGAAATCGGGGAAACTGTCAGGTGGAACATCGGAAGCTATCAGTCATGAGAGAGAGAGAGAGAGAGAGAGAGAGAGAGAGAGAGAGAGAGAGAGGCACAGACAACGGGAGGACATAGGCCCAAGGTGTCAAGGTGAAAAAAGAGGAAATATGATGAAAATGATCTGGGTCTGGGCTTCACTTGGATTGGCAATGCAGATTGCCCAAAGCCACAGTGCGTGGTGTGCAGTGAGGTGACTGAAGCCCTCTTATTTACGTCGCCACCTGAACACCAAGCATGCCAGTGCAAGTCAAAAGCCCCTTACATTTTTATATCGAAATTGGAGGAGTTACAGTCTCATTCATGTGTTGGGTCTACAAAAAACGCACTATGGGCTACATATCTGGTCACAGAATAGCAAGAAAGGGGCTACCTCACACAATCGCCGAAGACGTGTGCTTGCCAGCTGCCAAAGAGATGGTGGAATGTATTGGAGACAGTAACTTTATTGTAATTCGATTCAGATTAATGTAACCGCTATGTATGGTTAATTGTAAATTAAATGTGATGCAATCTGCCTCTGAGCCTGTGCGTGTGTCCTCGCCATCCTTATTGCTCTTTAAAAGTGACGCCTTGTGTAACTGAAATGTATTGAAACTTTGTTGCAGTGTTTCAGGGCGTTTTCACACCCGTAGTTGGTTTGCTTTGTTCCGATTCAGGGATTAGTATGATACAATGTTGCAGTTGCCCCTTTGTTCGGTTTGTGTTCACACTGCAACATTTAACAGCGGACTAAATCTTGTAAACAAACGCCACGCGCGAGCAAACTGTTCTCTCATTGGTCCGATTGTTATGCGGCTATAAATAGGCTCTGTTGATTTTTTTTTAAGGTGTGGGGGGATTGGGGGTGCGTGAACCCGGTTGGGATGTAGAAGGGGGTGCTTGGCCTAAAAAGTTTGGGAACCGCTGCTCTAGGGATAAGAGGTTACAGGTGATGGATGGATGGAACGTCCATCTTACCACCATTAACCAGTATAAGTATTAGTCTGGAAAACCACAACCCTAACCCTAGCTCTCCTAACTGATAGTTATTTTGTTCAGTATCTTACCTTTTGCAGTCACTGTTCCAGTAACCAGAAGTAGAAGGAAAGCGACCCTCAAACCAGACTTCATTTTCGCTGTTATCTTTCCTCTCGCAGCAGCACAGTACTGCAGACGAGCTGTACCTGCAGACCGGACTCCTTTTAAAGAGCAGACTGGGTGTGGAGCTCTGACAGAGACCTTACGAAAGATATATTGCAAAAGACTTTTCTTAACGAACCTGACGAAAACAGATTAGTTCGAAACAAACAGAACAATTAGTGGTTAGGACTCAGTAATGACTTTTGTCCTTCACAGAAGGAGGAGCCTCCCTGTGGGCACTTTACACCTCTTGTGAAATGTGTTATGATTCATCATTATCATGCAATATTCAGTAATGTGCGTGTCATTCCATGTTATTCCAGTTTATCTGTTCATTATTTATTTCTATTTTAAGAACAAAATTTTTTAATTCATATAGCACTTTTCCAAATCAATAAACATGAGCCAAACAACAACAACGTATGTAACTAAAACACTTAACTGAGTACATCCCATGTCCTTCAGGAGCAGCTAACTGTTAACTTATTTATTTACCCAGCATCCATTGCAATGGGCGTGTTGGTCTCAGCTGATGAAAATGTCCCTTGACAGAATTGACCTTTAACCTGGTATACATCTCGGCTCACTTTTCCAATATTTAATAACAATAAATTACTGAATTCTTCGTTTTCAAATGTGATTTTTGGGGAGCACTGATTTTTCAGAAAGGAATGAGAGAAAAAAAAAGGTGGGAGGTACTTATATATTACTTGATAAGTTTGGATAATTCAATTAGTTTCACATGAATACGTCCTGCATTTCACATATTTAATAGCTGTTCTGTCTTTTTTTTATCAAAATCAAATTTTTTTCTTCTTTTCTTTCCTTTTATTTTGTTAGAAAATTGACATGTTTGAGAATATAGAACTCTATTAAAACATGGTACCAATAAACCCCAAACCCCATATCCTGGAGTTGAGGACAGATTTCATAGCATTGTTTTTCTCATCCTAACGTGGAGAAGACCGTTTTCATTGACTCGCGAGCGGTCGATCGAGCACGTTATTTTTCATTCAGTTAAATTGCGGAAGACCCCAACTCCTCTGCAGACGTCAGACAGACTTCCCCGCGTGTGCGCGCATGTCCGCAGCCTCCCCGACACCGGCAGCGCGTGCAGAACGGAGGATCCCCTCAGCCCTGAGATGCAGTCCCTCATCTCTCCCATGTCCAAGGCGATCCTGGTGGCTCTCTTCATCTTCGCCATCCTGCTCATCCTCTACGTCAGGGGTGCCCAATCGATCGCGGAGGTAGTGCGGGTAGATCGCATGCCATTCAAAAAAAATTAGATGTCCGCATGGCATTTGTCACTTGATTTTCTAACACACGGGTCACCATGTATGCGCTACTGCAAAACTCCGGCGAGCTAATTAGTTAGCCTTCCAATGTATTTCTACTAAAGAAGCTAAAGCTGCAGCGCCATGATTTGGGAACCGTCCAAAACCTCGCGTTAGAGCTGGAGACTCAACGGAAGGCGTGCGCGTAACTTGACAGTGCGCGCTACACAGAACAGATTGACAGTGTCTGTCAGAGTTTGACAAACGCTTTCGAGACTTTGCTTTACTCGAGCCAGTTGCTACACTTATGTGCTGCACATTTCGGGAAGATATTGAGGTTGATTTACTCGCATCAAAAATTGCAACGCTGTTTCACCTGAACTCGTCTGGAGTGGAGGATGAGATTTTGACACTGCAAGCTGACATTCAGCTGAAGTCCAGGGCTCATGGACAGTTTTCTCACAGGGGAAAAGTACCCAAACATGAGGACATGTGATACCTTCTTGACTGCATTATTCGGCTCTACTCATTTATGTGAGTCAGCCTTTTCCCACATGAAGAACATTAAGTCCAAATACCGTTCCACCATGACTGATGATCATTTGAAGTCTGCTTGAGGTGGGCTACCAGCAGCTACTGTCCGGACTATGCAACTCTGGCCAATCCCATTCAGTGCAAGTCATCAGAGTAAGGTAATGACCAAAAATGTACAGAATTGTATTGTGCCATAAGGGTTCATGCAAGGTACGCCAACATATATTGTAAATATAAAGTATACTCAGTGTGTATGTATGTGTGTGTGTGTGTGTGTGTGTGTGTATATATATATATATATATATATATATATATATATTCAACATTTTTAATGTAGGTAGATCATTTTGACTTGGTCATTTTAAAAGTAGCTCGCAAGCCGAAAAAGTGTGGGCCCCCCTGCTCTACGTGATCCTGTGGTACATCTGCCGGGACGTGGACTGTGACCACGGCATCTGACGGACATGGACTTACTGAAGGACACCCAAGAGCCCAGGGAGAGCAGGGTGACCCTGACCGCCGAGCGCACCTTCAGGTGATCCCCTCTTTTGTTATTTAACCGTGGTCGGGAGTGTGCTCTGATTGATTTGTATCCAACATGTTGCACCATGCTGCAGTCAGTTGTTAGAGGATGAGGGAGCAGATTGTTCTGCGCTTAGGATTTATGGCTCATCTTGGATGGTTATTCATTTGAAGCCCTTTTTAAAAGGCTTTTAATGTTAAGTTGAGGATTTGCTCAAAGCAGAATGAGTCTAGACACAATTAATAGCAGCAATATTTTCAGAAGTCATTGCCATTAACAGGGATATTTGTCTCTGGGATCTGACTTTGTAGCTGAAAGTTTATGGAACAGACGGAGGTCAAAGATGCGACTTCTTATGATCTTGATGTCTCATCGCTTCCATTGTTGGAAATGATGAAAGGTAGAGACTTAGTGAGGACACGTCATGTATTCTCTGTGTTAGCTACCATCTAGGGCTGTAAGATACTTACACTTCAGTATCAGTATATGATGTTTTGTAATCATGTATTGATTTAAAAAAAATAGATTTTTAATTGTTTAAATGAATATGTATGATGAATGCAGATCCCAGTGTTCAGGTTGCATACAAACGTGTAATCAGATGTTGTGCATATGGTGGTGTGGTCTTTATAATATGATAGTTTTCCTAGAATAAGATATTAAAAAATTGCAATTTATTGCCTTGCTAATCTGGCCGGTTGTGCTGTATGTAAAAACAAATGAAAAAAAAAAAAAACGCATTTAACTTACCAGAGCTGCTGTTCACTATTTAAAGACAAAGTGCATCCTCCTTTCTTTGTTAATAAAGAGTTTAATCCCACGGTTGTTCAGTACATCCGTGCGTTTTAGTTCCAGTAAGAAGTCCTTCCGGATTCATGGACGCCAGTGAAGACAGTCGAGCCTCCCCAGTTGTATTTCTTGGATAGGTTTTAATGCTTTTGAGGGCTGAAAATGTCGCTCTGCAGAGGCAGCAGATTTTGGGATTGTCACCGCCCAACATGTCAGGCTAGCCCACTGACCAATCACGTATGGCTAGGCCAGCTAGCAGGCTCTGGCACGTCAAAGAATACGCCCAACATGTCAAACTAAAGATCTGATTGGTTGAACACTATGACAATCAACAATATCGTCCCCATTCACTTAAACTACACATGGATTCACTTGTGAGTCTGCAGGCCTCGGCCTCTGTTCTTACCTAGAGACACAGAGGTGAAATCTGATTGGATAAAAGCTCTACTTAAAACAAGCTGCACTGGAAGCAGAGCAACTGAGGAAGACAGTAGCTGTGCAATGAGGAAATAAGATAATGGGAACAAACCAGTTCAATCCATCACGGTTCCTCAAACATGTCTGTGTGTGCCAGTTGAAATGGTGAGTTGTTTCGTCAGCCTATAATGCATAAATGGCTTCATACATAATTAAATTCACAGAAAACACAATTTGCGTAATGTGTTTTTTTGTCATTTTTAGTGGTCCTGTTATCACTGAAGTAATGTGAATAATTACAGAACGTGGCCGACTGCACTTGTAGGCTGTAGCCTTGTGCTGTCGGTGCGTTCCTCTAGTGAGGGTGCGGGCAGTGAGACTGGTGCCTGGTGGCCCGACGACCATTTTCTAATTCACAATAAAAATAAATTGATTCACAATGAGATTTTTTGTACTATTAATGTAAATAAGGTGCCAGACTGCAAACAGAAAAAATTTAAATCATCTAATAGAGGCTGTTAATCAAAAAACTGTTTGTTTACTGTCATTTTGCAAAAGTGGCCCCCGAGCAAAGCAAGTTGAGGATCCTCTGGTGTTCGGCTAATAAAGCAACCCAGTCGCCCGAAAAACAATTTTTCAAGCATTGTACCTTTCTGCAAAGCACTGGATGAACCCTAAATATTTTTAATAAATGTTTCTTATCACGCTTGCAGAAACACAATGACATTTGGTTATCATTGTGAAACAATTTGTTGGGTTTAAGAAACAAAACTTGTTTATGGTTGGAAAAAAAGATCATGGTTTGTGTTTAAATATTAGCATAACATCGTAACTAGACTAAATAAAATACTCATTTTTATAGCATGTAACCTTTTTAAAAAACGTTTGCGCGATATGATTTGTCACTTGCTCTGCATGAATGCAAACTGTCCACATTCCAACAAAAAAAAGTATTCAACATAATTATTTCCTTCTCTTTAGGAAATCCTGTAGCTTACATGGTTTTGACACATGACTCATGAATTATAACCTATTAGAATCTTTTATATAGTATTTGTTTTTACAAGTAAGACATGACTCATAATAAATACTAATAATAATGTTTTACATTTTGTACCACGAAAGAGTGTGTTAAATGAGGTGGTGGTTTAGACCACAACTTTAAGCCTACGTTACAATACAGTACAATGCATTCATGAAATGTAGAAGGAAGAAGAGAGGGTCCTAAAAGTAAGCTTTCTTGTCTTAACAGTTCATCTCAACCAACTTTTCCATCATGTGACGCCATTTTCCTGGAGGCGGAACCACGGACAGATAAATCCCTCGCAGGCGCTGAGTCGGATACTTTGACGTGAAGCACAGACGAAGTCGGAAGCATAATGTGGCTGCAGTCCGTGCTGCTGCCTCTCCTCAGGCTGTACCTATGCGGAATGAAAGTTCTCTTCTATCAGATGTTCAACAGATCTTTCACGCTACCAGGTAAAAATCAATGTATATGTTATTTAGTAAATGATATTCTTTGAAGTTATAATCTCCCGGCATGCACATTATGTGCCGTTTCCATGCGGATCTCCGTTAGAAATGGGACTGTTTACATATATACGATCGGTATGATATCGCGTTAGTTCGTCATAATCTTCCAACAAAATAAATACTGATGAATCAAATCTAAAGAACGCGACTGTAGTGAAGAGAGATGCTGCCGGAGGGACCGTGGGATTGTGTAAAGTGTGGATGTTTCTCACCGAGTTTGGCACCTTCACATTTTTAAAAAGTCTTAAAACAATAGTCAGGTATGAACATCGTGTTAACTAGTCGGATATCATATAGCCAATGCATGACTGGAAACTAAGTCTGTCTGATATTGTATCTATAGATTTTTGCCGTTTTATGAAGTATTGAATGTGAGCTCGTTCATTAATACTTTAGCGTTTGAAACCTACTTAGACCTCAAAATGTAATAAACCTAATAGCCTAATAAATTAGACCAACAATGTAATAAAAATGGCGGAATGATACTGAAATAACATTTTACCGATTAATGTAAAAGTATGGTATAGAAAACGTATAATACTCTTAGTGTCATGGTAGTTTACTGAAACCAATCATATTTAACACTGATGTCATGTTTGGAAATGTACACTCTAGTCTTTTTAAGTTATCACAATATTGGTTTTATTCCATTTTCAATAATAATTGCAAATTGTGTTTCATTTTTTTAGGAGATTATTACTACAAGACATAACAGAATAGTATTTATAGCCTACTATGAAGATATGTTTACCCTCATTGAGGTGATTGATTATTAATAGAATGTATATTTTATAAATATAGCTCTTGTATGCACACACATGAACTACTCAAACTGATGTTGAAAGCGGCGCTGTGTTCCACTGCGAGGTATCAGTACACCCTTTGTATGTGACAAACAAATACTACTTTAGTTTGTTAGAGTAAGACAAAGAGAGGATTGTGTCTCCAGACAGCATGAGGCGGGTTGGACCTAAGCTTTACACACTTCTAATCTCACAGAGACTGCAGGCTATTTATCAGCTAGTAAGAGGATTTCCTAAATTCTAGTTATTTATATGGAATTTCCCAAACTGTGACTAAAAGGTAAAGCCTGACTGGCTCGTGATTTTTTGCAAAAATTCCAGTTTTGCAGCTGCCCTCTTTTTATTCATTTTTCCTTTCTTTATTTTGTTGGTTTGGACATCAGTGCTGTTTAAGGCGACTACGTGTTTTCCCCTCCATTTTGATATGTGCCCTTAATGTGTGTTTGTATCTAGTGACTCATTCCAGACTGTCGGCACTGACCTGATCTCTGAAATGATGAAGACTGGTTCTTTGCTTGCACCCAGGCCTGTGTTTTAATGCCAGCTAGTGGTGACCAAATACTGAATTGTGTTGAATGAAAATCCTTCAACAGATGACTGGTGTTGAATCATGTTTTATTATCACTTAATTACAATGAACTAATAACGGGCTAATACACTTAAAATGTTGTCGAGAGAGCTCTTATTAAAAACACCATTTGAATACACTCCGTTGCCAGTTTATTAGGTACAGCTAGCTAAAGCGTGTGCAGTCTAATACCACAGTCCTGCAAGAATTCCTCCCTTCATGAAGGTTATAATCTGTTAGTCATCCTGTGTCTATTCAACTGTATGATCATGTTGGGTCATACAGTGTAAAAACAATTAGAAACGGCACTATAATTACTATTGTATTACAATTGAATACCTCTTAAACAATGTCAATAAAAACGGAACATTATAAACTTCATGAAGGTAGAATGTATTGCAGAACTCTTTATGATTTTTCACTGTGATCTAGTTTGTTGTGAGCATTGCTGACTGATTTTCAAAATCCCATCTCAACGTAGCTTCACAAATTGCTCGACTGTTTTTTTTAACCACATCCTTCAAATGTGTATTTCACTATTCTTGTTAGGTGCTCAATAAGTGAAGGAACCGATGGAGGGTAAAAGTTCAGGACCTTCATGCTCTGGCCCCAAACTGGTGTCGCACCCGCGGGCAAAAAGCAAAGTCTGGAAATACTTTGGCTTTGACACGGATGCAAATGGCTTCATATTGCACTGGAAACGGATATACTGTCGCGTGTGTATGAGTCAAATCGCTTACTCCGGAAACACCTCCAATCTTATGTACCACCTTGAGAAGAACCACCCCGTAGAATTCAACGCATATGTGAGGAGCAACACGGATCAGATGCGCGAGGCGTTTGCCATGGCGTTCTCCAGGATAAAGACCGAGCCTTCGCTTGTACCTGTTCAGCAACCGTCCCAGGACACAAACCTAAAGCCGAGTTTAGATGATGAAAACAGGCGACACAGTGATCTAACAATAGCCGTCATCAACTTCATCTGTGAGGGGCTGTACCCTGTATCTGTAGTTGAAGAGCCTACTTTCAAGACCTTGATGAGTACCGTCGATCCCGGGTACTCTCTACCGAGCAAAAGTGACGTGGCCGTTAAAATGCTCCCTCAGATGTACTGCCGTACCCGGGACATGGTCTTCTGCGAGCTTGCTGGGGTTGTGAACTGTGGCGTGACCACTGACCTTTGGCAAAGCCAAACCCAGAAAAGGACCTACATTTCGCTCTCTATGCATTCAGTTAACTACAGTAGTACTATGGGCTTCTCTATGATCAACAGGTGTCTTAAAACCTTCGAAGTGCAAGAGGACAACACAGCTGAGAACATCACCAGAGCGATGTACGAGGCGTTCGTTGAGTGGGGGATAACTCACAAAGTCAGTGGTGCCACCACAAACAGTTCAGTTGACGTTGTCAAAGCATGCTCGCTCCTAGACCTGTCCGTGGAAATGCCTTGCCTCGGACACACCATCAACCGTGCGGTGGACGAAGCCTTCCAGTTGCCGCGTGTCGACAGCTTTTTGGGATGTTGCCGAAAACTGGTCGACCATTTTCAAGAACCGACGCTGTATCTGCTGAAGGAGAAACAGAAGCAGCATGGCCTCCCACAGTGTGCACTCATCGCAGACAGGCCCAGGTCTTGGTTGGCCACGTTGGCAATGTTGCAAAGACTGGAGGAGCAACAAATTGCTATAACTGCGACACTTGGAGAGAGTTCCAGCAGTCATCATTTCAGCTTTGAAGGCACTCACTGGGCTTTGTTGGATGACTTGATTGAAATCCTTCAGCCTTTTAAAGTTGTGGCGAACATGATCACTTCTTGTAGGTACCCAACCATCAGCATGGTTCGGCCCGTGCTTCATATGCTGCTGAACACCACCCTCAAGGTCAAGGACGGGGACCTCAAAGAGATCAGCATGACCAAAGAGATCATCTCAAAGGTCCTATCCAGCACCTATTCACAGGATACACCGCCGTCGCAAGACATAGCAACGTTCCTCAACGTTGCTACATTTTTGGACCCTCGGTACAAGAAGTTGCCCTTCCTGTCCACTCAGGAGCGCTCCAAAGTTGAGAGTACCATCATAGAGGAGGCGAAAGCGATCCTGGAGAAGCAGATTGCAGAGCGACCGTGCCTAGATGATTTCTCCTTGGACTCTGATGAGCCACCGAGCAAAAAGCCTGCGCCTTTAAGAGAACCTGCCAGGAGTTCAACCCAAGACAACCCTTTGGCTGCCATATTTTGTCAGTTCGATACAGACCAGAGCCAGGAGGAGCTGCATGCACAGGTGTTGGAGGAGCTGAGCAACTACAAAGCACAAAGAGTCCTCGGTCTGAATGAAGACCCTTTATTCTGGTGGTCGAGTCATGCGCCCTTGTTCCCCGCCCTCCCTAAGGTGCTCCAGAAGTACTGGTGTGTTCCTGCCACCAGTGTGCCATGTCACCGGCTGTTCGGCTCCTCTGGGACTGCTCTGTGTGGGAAAAGGAACCGCATAGCTCCAGCTTTAGTAGATCAGCAGATCTTCTTGTACGAGAACTCGAGAAGCTACTATGAGCCTGAACCCTGTGAGGGGGATTTGGACAACGTTTAGGAGAGCCTTTTGAGTGACTCTGTGCTTAAAATAAGCAAAAAGTTAAAGAATTGTGATGACTTTATTCCTTGTAATGGAACTGTTGTAGCAGTAATTACTTTTTTTTTTTTTTTAAGAGTTTTTACCTATATTGTCTTACATAGTCCTTTTTAAAATTAATTCTAGAGAACTTGTTGTACTTTGTTAAAACATGAGATTGAAATCAATCTTCTCATCTCAGGAAAGAAAAGAAACTTCAAACTGGAAGGAGTTTATTAAAGCCTATAAATCAACTCTACAAATCACTTTTTTTTTATTTTGCCATCGCATTAATCGGAGGAAATCCTTAAACTGCTAGTCATCACATCTGTTCAGTAGATGGTATAAACCAAATGTTTATGGATATTTCAGCATTAACAATGGATGGGTTTTATGTCTTGCTGTGCAGAACACTGGCACATGTGATTATGATGTAAAAGCAATCTATGAAAGTAAAGGTTTTTGTCTTCAACATTTTACTGACTGTTTGACTTTTTTATTGTAACATTGGTGCATTTTTATGAATACACTCTCAATTATTCATCTTTCACAGGGGCAACGTATTTTAAATTATATGAATTGATTCTTGAATAATTACAGATTAGACGTTCCTGTCCTGACATAGTTTATGTAACACTACCTGCTCTTCACACAAACATTGAATCATATTGAGTCCTAAAAACATCTGCAAATGAAGGATTGGATAATGTTGTCATGTGATCCGCTCTCTCCTACACAGTCATGCCCAAGCAGAATGGAAGGGTTGCCGTTGTGACGGGGGGAACCAGAGGAATGGGTTATGAGACAGCGAGGCACCTGGCACGCCTCGGCATGCATGTTGTCATAGGTAGGGTGGATTATTCCAAATACCTCTTGAGTGTGAAAGATCCACCAGGATCGGCCACCTTTTACATTTCAGTCAAACGTGATGTTGTCAAAATGTTTCATAAATACAGCCTAGCTTGATACATGACAGCTAATCATTTTCAGAAAGAATGAATAATTAGTAGCGACATGAGCTTTAGCCAGTCCGGTTGAGATGCAGTAGATATCTGCTGGACATCCGCCCACCAAGTCTCTCTGATCTCCATCATCTCCAGCTGGAAACGAGAGGGAGGAGGGAGCAGCGGCCGTCGGCAGGATCCAAGAGGAAGGCGTCGAGGGGAAAGGTAATCATCTGTCTGTCTCTGGTCACATGTCATTTAAGACAAAAGAAAAGAACTCTTTCAATAGTCTGGTATAGAATGTGAGCTGAGAGACTAGTGGAGCCTTCACACAAAAGCTGCCAGTTGATACAAAATGTTCTGTATTCAAATATACATACAAGACTTTGGCTGTATGAAGTCATTTGTCTGAATAATTTTTTTTCTTTAAATTAGCCATCTCTGAAAAAGTTTCCAATCCTTTTTTTGATATTCATAATCAATATTAGCTTTTATATTTCCCTAAAAACTGATGTTGATGTGACAAAGATCTGGAGAAGGCAGCTGCTGCTGCAAAGGTTGCTCCATCTGTGTGCAGGTTACGGGGTAAACATCTGGATGTTAGGTCTTGATCTACTGTTACAGCTGTGTATGTCACAGAGCCGCCCGTCAGCGAGGACCATTTCTCCAGCTGAAATCATAAGCAATAAAACTCACTGTTGCTCAGTTGAATACACACCTCTGCTTGTGCTACTGTCACACTACATGTCAACATGTCCTATATCACTATTGTATATATTTCAGTTGTTCTATCCTGTGACCGCAGTGGTCTCATTACACTCCCTTTAGTCAGGTTAGCTAATGGTGAAGTCTTTAAAGCAACAGAATTGAGAATCTAAAGGAAATGAATCTACCGTTTATCATGTAATTGTTTATTTTAGATTTTAAAGATGTGTAATACCGCATGACCTGCTCCAAACAAATAGGTTCAGCATTTCACCTCCACGACTGGGTCCATGCAATCCAAATGATTTATTCGACATACGATACTATGATGTTTTTATGACTTTTTTCAACATGTTTTACTTTTTTGTCATACTATACTGTCTTTTTATGACTTTTTCCAAAATACTATGACTTTTTTTTTTTTGTACTTTTTTAACATAATATAAATGAATATGAAATAAGTCCAGGAAATGCCATTGAAGGGTTTATTTGGTTGAAGTCATTTGTTGTTGCAAAAAATGCCCCCATAATTTCCTCTAATAATAATGATAATTTAATGAACTTGTCAAAAACATCGTAGCCTATATGACCTGGTCCAGTTGCCATAGAATGTTTTGGATTTTTGCCTTGACTGATGTGTGCGTGAAGAACCGAACGTTCTAAACAAATAAATAAATGGAGCGCTTCTTAATCAGACCTGTGACTGCGAGACTGCGGTCAACTCAGCAGACACTTACAGGTGCTGGTCATATAATTAGAATATCATCAAGTTGATTTATTTCACTAATTCCATTCAAAAAGTGAAACTTGTCTATTATATTCATTCATTACACACAGACTGATATATTTCAAATGTTTATTTCTTTTAATTTTGATGACTATAACTGACAACGAAGGAAAATCCCAAATTCAGTATCTCAGAAAATTAGAATAATACTTAAGACCAATACAAAGAAAGGATTTTTAGAAATCTTGGCCAACTGAAAAGTATGAACATGAAAAGTATGAGCATGTACAGCACTCAATACTTAGTTGGGGCTCCTTTTGCCTGAATTACTGCAGCAATGCGGCATGGCATGGAGTCGATCAGTCTGTGGCACTGCTCAGGTGTTATGAGAGCCCAGGTTGCTCTGATAGTGGCCTTCAGCTCTTCTGCATTGTTGGGTCTGGCATTTCGCATCATCCTCTTCACAATACCCCATAGATTTTCTATGGGGTTAAGGTCAGGCGAGTTTGCTGGCCAATTAAGAACAGGGATACCATGGTCCTTAAACCAGGTACTGGTTGCTTTGGCACTGTGTGCAGGTGCCAAGTCCTGTTGGAAAATGAAATCTGCATCTCCATAAAGTTGGTCAGCAGCAGGAAGCATGAAGTGCTCTAAAACTTCCTGGTATACAGCTGCGTTGACCTTGGACCTCAGAAAACACAGTGGACCAACACCAGCAGATGACATGGCACCCCAAACCATCACTGACTGTGGAAACTTTACACTGGACCTCAAGCAACGTGGATTGTGTCTCCTCTCTTCCTCCAGACTCTGGGACCCTGATTTCCAAAGGAAATGCAAAATTTACTTTCATCAGAGAACATAACTTTGGACCACTCGGCAGCAGTCCAGTCCTTTTTGTCTTTAGCCCAGGCGAGACGCTTCTGACGCTGTCTGTTGTTCAAGAGTGGCTTGACACAAGGAATGCGACAGCTGATACCCATGTCTTGCATACGTCTGTGCGTAGTGGTTCTTGAAGCACTGACTCCAGCTGCAGTCCACTCTTTCTGAATCTCCCCCACATTTTTGAATGGGTTTTGTTTCACAATCCTCTCCAGGGTGCGGTTATCCCTATTGCTTGTACACTTTTTTCTACCACATCTTTTCCTTCCCTTCGCCTCTCTATTAATGTGCTTGGACACAGAGCTCTGTGAACAGCCAGCCTCTTTTGCAATGCCCTTTTGTGTCTTGCCCTCCTTGTGCAAGGTGTCAATGGTCGTCTTTTGGACAACTGTCAAGTCAGCAGTCTTCCCCATGATTGTGTAGCCTACAGAACTAGACTGAGAGACCATTTAAAGGCCTTTGCAGGTGTTTTGAGTTAATTAGCTGATTAGAGTTTGGCACCAGGTGTCTTCAATATTGAACCTTTTCACAATATTCAAATTTTCTGAGATACTGAATTTGGGATTTTCCTTAGTTGTCAGTTATAATCATCAAAATTAAAAGAAATTAACATTTGAAATATATCAGTCTGTGTGTAATGAATGAATATAATAGACACGTTTCACTTTTTGAATGGAATTAGTGAAATGAATCAACTTTTTGATGATATTCAAATTATATGACCTGTACATGTTAGTGCACCTATATGCTGACATTCACGGTAAACTCATTCAAACGGCACAGATCGGGAGCGAGTAAGGACTTTGAAAGTTAGCGGAAAGATTAACGTGAGATAACATCCGGTTTCTTCAGACGAACATCCGGTTTTCAGAATAAGATGCCAAAGTATACATATTGCATAATGGAAATTAGATTAAATGAATTATATTTACATTCAGTATAAAACATGCTACCTGCATCTCGTGAGTTAAAGGGAAAATACACCTAAATTGTGCGTAAAGTGTCTTTATTCTTTGATTTGAGGGTTGCTGGAAATGAATAATACCTGACTGACAGTCAATTAAGATATTTTACTAAGTAAAAACTCTGAACTGAATTTGTACCTTCAAATGGCACATTTTAAAAAAAAGTTAAGGTGCTATAAAAATGTTTTTCTCAAAAATTCCACACAATGACTAATGCATATGTTCAGGACAGAAATGGGTAATATCACAATATTTGAGGTGCTACAAAAATATCTTTCTCAATAATTCCATACAATGACTGATGTACAGTCCCTGACAAAAGTCTTGTCGCTTGGGTACAAGTTGACCTTAAGTGCCCCTCAAATATATTTGTAATCAATTTTGTTTTACAAGAAATGGCTAATTTCAATCCCAACAGCTTTTGAAATAATGTTTTGGTGCCAAACGAAACTGCTGAAAAGCATTCTAACATTCACAGCCCACTGAGTCAGTTTTTGCAAAGACAAAAGTCTTGTCGCCTTGTCATATGATGCACCCAATCCTAGATTACAGCCTCACCTGTGATCAATAATTGATCAATCAATTAGTGGGTGTGTATAAAAGGAACCCCAGCACACCAGACCTTCACATCAACTGCAACTTGACCTCTGACAACATGCCTAAGATTCACCCTGAGACCAAAGCGTTGATTATCAAGAGGCTGAAGACCAGATCCACTGCTGAGATTGCTGACACCTTCAATGTGTCTCAGCGTCAAGTACAAAGAATAAGAAAAATATTTGAAGAGACTGGAGATGTTTTTGACAAGCCCAGGTCCGGCAGACCCCGCAAGACAACTGCTCGGGTGGACCGTTTGTTGGCTCAAAAATCCAAGGCCAGCCCCTTTTCCACTGCAGCAGAGCTCCACCAGGCCTGGTCACCTCAAGTCCCCGTGTCAACCAGGACAGTTTGTAGAATTCTGTCTCAAAATGGCCTCCATGGTCGAATCGGTGCCCAGAAACCAGCACTAAACAAAAGGCAATTAAAAAAACGTGTGGCATTTGCCAAGGCCCACAGCCTGCTAAAAGGATGGACGCTGGAAAAGTGGCAGAAGGTGGATTTCTCAGATGACTCTTCGGTTGAATTACATCACAGCCGCCGCAAACATTGCAGGAGACCTACTGGAGCCCGCATGGATCCGAGATTCACCCAGAAAACAGTTAAGTTTGGTGGCGGAAAAATCATGGTCTGGGGTTACATCCAGTATGGGGGTGTGCGAGAGATTTGCAGGGTGGAAGGCAATATCAATAGCCTAAAATATCAAGAAGTATTAGCTACCCCTTACATTCCCAACCATAAAAGGGGTCAAATTTTGCAGCAGGATGGTGCTCCATCGCATACTTCCATCTCTACATCAAAGTTCCTCAAGGCGAAGAAGATCAAGGTGCTCCAGGACTGGCCAGCCCAGTCACCAGACATGAACATCATTGAGCATGTCTGGGGTAGAATGAAAGAGGAAGCATGGAAGACGAAACCAAAGAATCTTGATGAACTCTGGGAGGCATGTAAGACTGCTTTCTTTGCTATTCCTGATGACTTCATCAATAAATTGTATGAATCATTGTCGAACCGCATGGATGCAGTCCTTCAAGCTCATGGAAGTCATACAAGATATTAAATATGGATCTCACAGCACCACTACTTAATTCACTGATGTTATGCAACATATTTTTGTATTTGAAGTAAATTATTTGTTCAATTTTCACATTACTCTCTGTAGGCGACAAAACTTTTGTCTTGCCAAAATCTGACCTTTCTGTGTTCATTAAATGATCAATCTTTCTTCAGTGAAGCAAATTTATTTTAGTATATTAAACATAATTTGGGAGGGTTTTAGCTTTCATATGAGCCATTTCTAAAACAATGGATTAATTAAAAGTTAGGTTTTAAGCCGTTGTTTCTACAAAATGGATAAGTGACAAGACTTTTGTCAGGGACTGTATATGTAATCAAGGCATCGTTGACTTAATAGTTGTTTAAAAAATGTAATAATAAATTACCACAAAGAAATATGAATACAATTGAATATGATTGTCAGATTTTTTTTTAACAAAAAAAACATAAATCAAAGAAAACACTTTGAATCTATAGACTACTGCCTAATAGTCTTATTATTGCCATTTGATGACAATTGCTCATATACTGTAAGCCTAAATAAGTATATTTATTATTTTGAACAAAGGTTAAATGTTATTTCACAAGTTTCAAAAAGTGCCCCCAATTTGTTTTTAAATGCCCCTGGATTTCAGTCAGTGGGGGCAAAAATTGCCCCCTAAAAAAATATGTAAATTTCCTACCCTGTACAAAGTGCTCTGCTCTGGGCCCAAGGCCTGAGGAGTGCTGATGAAAGCGGCTTTAAATGGGACTCATGGAAGCAGCCAGCTGTTCATAGACTGATTAAAGTGAAGCAGAGTTCCTTACATTATAAAATCTTGACATGAATGACATGCGTGAAGCTGCTAAGAACTAAAACCAGGATTTAGGGGAACACATTCTAGGTTCAAATCCGTTTAACTTATATTCTTTTTCATTTCCAGTTGTCCCCTAAATTGTCCCGTGTGCACCTCAATATGCTTTGTAAGCTCTTCAGTCTCTTTCAGCTCTGTGGTTTGGTCTCCAAGCCCACATACATAAAATGATTGATTGAAGATGAGGATTTTGATTTGAAGATGCCAAATCCAGTTTTTGTAAATGAAATTCAATGAAATGGTAGAGACGTGATGCTATTTTGTACTTTCATCTCAGGCTGCAAAATACAAGTTTGGGAGCATTTTGATTGCTAAAACTACTTTATCGATTAAGAATATCTCAGTATTGTGATCACAGCTTGTTCTGCTGCCCCAAGTAAAACCAAATCAATGAGTGCAGCGTTGCATTCAGAAGAAAGATGTTTTCACACTCTATGACATGTCTTATATTCTTTATTTGTTGGTTCCAGCACTTCATGCTTATATTAATATTTCAATCTTAATCTTAAAACCGTTTAAACGGGTCTGACTAACTCATCCGGTCCTCTGTGTTTACCTAACGTGGCTGTTTTTCTGTTCACAGTGGAGTTCGTCTTCTTAGACCTGACCTCACTCAAATCAGTGCGGCAGTTTGCTCAGGCGTTCAAAGACCGAGGTCTCCCGCTACATGTTCTGGTTAACAATGGTAAGCTGCATGAAAGAGAAGATCATACGCACAGACACACTGCGTACACTAAGAGCATATCTGTGTCCGTGCAGCTGGAACCATGATGGTTCCTGAGAGACAGACGGAGGACGGCTTTGAGTTCCACTTCACGCTCAACTACCTCGGCCACTTCCTGCTGACTAACCTGCTGCTGGGCACGCTGAAGAGGTCGGGGCGACAGGGCTGCTGCTCCAGAATCATCAACATGTCCTCCGCTACACACTATGCAGGCATCGTGCACATGGATGACTTGAACAGGAGGTGAATGTCTGATGCTGATGATTCTGAGGGTTCTAAATTGCGAGCATATATAAGATTGAGGAATTGTCTCCACACAGATCTAAAGATGGCGTTGGCTGAGCCGGCAGCTTGCAGCTAACAGTGTTTACCAGGAGGGTGGGCGTTACAACAGTCAGTCAGTGCGTGGTTGAAATCAGAATCAAAAACCGGTTTATTGCCAAGTATGTTTGCACATACAATGAATTTGGCGTGGTGATTGGTGCGGGGCAATAAACACAGCGCAATAGTAAAAGATATTTCCAAGAGATTTAGAATTGAACACAAATGCTCGCAGCACATCACGCCCTCAGATTAGTCCTACTGATGATTTTAGTGATCCTCTGACTTTCCATCTAGTTATAGTTTACTGCTAAATTAGTAGATGGTAGCATGCTAACGCACCGGCGTGGTGCAGGTAGTGGGTTCGATCCCCGGTCAGGACCTCTCTGTGTGGAGTTTGACGGGAACAGCCAAAAGCAGAAGACGCTAACACACCAAACTATGATCATATATAACATGATAAACATTACATTTGTTAATATGTCATTGTGAGCATGAGGCTGATATTAGCATTTAGCCCCACGGAGCTGCTAGCCCAAATCCAAATAATGAAACTATTTTACAGTCTTGGCTATGATATGATGCTACATTCTGTCGTCTGCAGTATTCCCTTACTGTGGTAAAGAAGAAGGATCAGTCCATGTGCAGACGTCGGACATCTATCATCTGTGTTCTGCTGTTGTTGCAGTTATTGCTTTTTTTAATGGCAATATTGCCTCATAGATAGCACAAAGAAGAATACAGAGCAGTCCTTTCAGTGGCATCGCCTCATCTCAGGAAGTGTGTGTGTGTGTGTGTGTGTGTGTGCGCGCGCGTGTGTGTGTGTGGAGACAATGTGAAGAGAGACGGGCTGGTTTAGGTATTCAAGTAGATCAGGGGTCACCAACCTTTTTTAAACTGAGAGCTACTTCAAGGGTACCGAGTAGTACGAAGGGCTACTTATTTGATACAAACTTCCTGAATAACAAAGTTGCACAGATCACCTTTTAATAATAATTATATATGTGAAGAGACTGTTTGATCACATGTCAGTTAATTATTCCTCACAATAATTATTAATAATGATTTCCACAACAATGATGGTATAGCTACACATGCATATTTAAACATGCAACTTTTATTTCTGTTAATCTGTTTCAACATTTGAAAGTCAGAGGTATCACATCTCTGATATTTTTGTATCATCACATGATTAAAGCCGGTTACTTTTGCACATAGCGCCTGCTGGAGAATGATGCAGTGGTAATGTGACATTTTGCGAAGTCTGGGTCACCTTTGCATTGCGCAATGAAGCCTGCATGCCGGCCCGTCATCGCGGGAGCCCCGTCTGTTATCACCGACACCAGCTTTTCCAATGGTACCTTTTTCTCCACGAATAAACTAGTAAACAGTCTCGTCTATAGCCGAGCGGGGGATCCAACCCTCCGAGACGCGCGAGCGTCTTCGGGCGCCCGCATTCAAGCCTCTAGTCTGGGCCTTTTCGGTCGGATTGCGTTGCCTCGCCTCGCCTCTACCCCCGCCACCCCTGAGTTGTTGCCCCGCGGCCTGTTCCGAGGATTTACGGACCTGACGACGGGGTGCGCTCGCGGCGCGCGTCTGGCGCCAACGGGAAGCACCCGCCATTCGGAACCTGAAAACCTAGTGCGGTGCGGCGGCCTCGTCCTGGCTGTCCGCCGTGCGCCTCCGGGTACCCAACTCTCTTATGACAAGAAATATTGTCATTTTAAAATCTACACTAATGCAAGCGCTTTTGATTAAAAAAAGAACAGCAAGTACAATTTTAGATGGAGCTCCATGGTGACTAGTGCTATTTTTAGAACATTCCTTGCGGGCGACTCACATGGTCCCTGCGGGCGACAGGGTGCCCGCAGGGACCGTGTTGGCTACCTCTGAAGTAGATGAACAGTTGTCTATGTATCTGGCAAAACCTGTGATATTGTTGCAGAAAAGCTAAACAAATACAAAGAAAACTAATTGTACATATGTTAAAAAAAACCTGCATAAGAATCCTTAAACAAGTAACAGAGATTAAGTAATTAAGGGTTATTTTAGAGTCTCCGATACATTTTAAGTCATGCAAAGAAGATTAAGGCCAGCCTTAGCTGTCTTAAAATGCTTGCCATCTTTTTCTAACTCAATGCTATTTTTACATCTGTCCTTTGGTTTGGCTGCCTGGTCTCAGGCCAGCCAGCCTGTAATTAAATCTATAGAGTGTCTTAACAATTGGTCCTTGAAAATCTTGGACAATATGATACCATCAGTGCCACATTTTAAGTAAATACAAGATTTCAAAGTTTTGTAAGCTTTATTGATTTTCATCATGTAAAGCTTGAGTTTGAATGTGTAAGTGGACTTGGTCTTTAGCTCCTCAGCCTTTCTGCAAATACTTGAAGAGATTACAGAGCTGCAGCAAATCCACTGGAGCAGCTTCAAGTGGTAACTGGAAGGTTCCATTCTGCAACACATCGTTTGCTCTAACAGCTTTTTCTGTGAACTTCAAATTCGCTTTGAAGCGAGCTACCAAATCCTGATTAATACAGCAACAAACCTGTACGCATGTCTAGCTTTTAGATATAATTGTTTAATGTGTGCATTGTTGTATCTCTTCTTCAAGAGCCTTCAAACCAACATAGTCAACTCACAGCTCCGAACCATAACCACTGTTGGAGCTCAGTGTGTGAAGCTGACAAAGACTCTGATAGCATCCCTCTCCCCCTCTCTAGGATCTGCTACAGCTCCCACGGTGCTTATTCCCAAAGCAAACTGGCTCTGGTCCTCTTCACCTACTACCTGCAGGAGCAGCTTACGGCCGGCGGCTTCCCGGTGACCGTCAACGCCGTGGACCCCGGCATGGTGGACACGGCGCTGTACGACAACCTGTGGAGCCTCGCGCAGGCGCTGAAGAGACCCGTGGCCAAGATGCTGTTCAGGGTACGTCTTCAGTCTGGCCAGATCAGTGTGTTGCTGAGACAAAGAAAGGTCTCTGTAAAGGGGCGGGGCAGTGGTGAAACCCACCTGACACAGAAACAGGAAACTGTTTCTGAAACGACCGTGTTCTGAAAGAATACATGTTGGGTTTTTTCTCCGGTCCCTGTGAAAGTAGTCTCGACAAAAGCAGAGCAGTTTCAGGATTTAATTTCCTGTTCATTCGTTAATGGATAGAAAATATCAGTGCCATCAACTACATTTCACCGTAATGACTTCCTGTCTCATTCTATGCTCCTCCAGTGGTTTATATTCCATTGCCTCAGACATTTGTAAGTGGTTCTGTAATATTGACTCTCATTCAACATGAGAGGGATGTGAGAGAACAAATGGCATTGGAGAATGGTGACGATATGTTCTCAACTTACTGTATATAATCATTTGGTGGCAGTGTTAATGCAAATGACCAAATCTTATAAATACGCACCTCCTCATGTTCATCAACTAAACTTCCATGGTTTCTCTTGCATGCTCTTCTCAGACTCCAGCAGAGGGAGCGTCCATATCCATCTATGCCGCAGCTGCCTCTGAGATGGAGGGCGTGGGGGCCTGTTACCTGTACAACAGCCACAAGACTCAGTCCTCCGACAGCTCCTATGACTCCGAGCTACAAGCCGAGCTGTGGAAGAAGAGCTGTGAGCTGGTGGACCTTCAGATATAGTTCCACATCCTCCAGAGTCACAAGTCCTACCGAACCGCTGCCTGACTTCATATAGTGTCCCAACACTCAAACATCTAGACTTCCAGGCCGTCCACATCTGCTGACACAGATGGTTTTAGAGCTACAGCTTAAAAAAAAAAAAAGATATCAATATAACTGAAACAACATGAAAACTGTTGATAATTTATTAAATTCAAACTTGAAAACGGCAAACCTGAAGAGAAATGTGCACATCAGACCTGATGGGTGAGCTTGTCTTCATTTCTGCTGCATTATCACACAAAGTATTCTGTGTACAATTAACGCCTATATGTTTTGTTTTTTATTAACATCAGCTAAGTTGTCACTCTCTGCTCTTCTGTTTATAGAGACTAAACCACACTTTGATATGTTAATATCTTGCTCCCATATAGAGCAGCTTTGCTGTGTTAAATATCCACAGACAGTCAGAGCACATGAAATTCCTACAGGCCTTAGTGTTGCCTATTGAAGCCGACAGATGATTTCCAGATTTGTGATTTAATGTGACGTGTGAGTTTGTAAGTTGTAGAGAATCACTATTCAATCACAACATAGAATCTGGGACTAATTTAAACATCGAGTCTACTGAAAAGTGAGTTTTCACACATTTTAATTTATCTCTATGCCAAACATAATTAATTATTGAATGTACCTTATTGCTGAAAGGAAATACGGTAGACGTTCCAGTTGCAATCTGCAATTTCACTTAAAGATGTCGCCAGATCCTACACACCGGCCCTTTAAGTGGATTCTGTTTTAGGGTATAAATATTCCATTTGTATACCACAAAGTGCACTTTTTTTGCCTTAATGAAAATTAATTTTTACATTCATATCTTGAATTAGCATTTATAGTGCAATATCATTTCACATATTTAACTCAGAGTCCCCACATGCTGATGGCTTTAGCTTTAGTTGACGATCCAAGATGTCAACTTGGATCCATCTCATCATTATATTTTATTTGAGTGCATTTCATAATTCACAGTGACCAGTTTTAGCAAATTCTTGCAAATTGCTTTTTAATGGAAGTCTATAACTATATGTGATACGTTTTCAAAGATTACATAAATGTAAATCGTCGTTCCGGATCATGGTGTCGTCTTAGTTTCTATAAGTATAAAAAAACGTTCATGTTGATATATTTATGTTTATGATCCTGGGCCTGAACTCTTCTCTGTTTAATGTTCTGGATACATTTCAGTGTGTCAGCATCAAAAACTGTATTCCAATCAAACTGATTATACTGCGCACAAATGGTTTACCACGATCACTGTGAATTATGCCTTTATTCCAGATTGTACTAATTTATAGTCATGTGAGTTTACAGTTATTATATTAACAGATTAAGATGTCCCACCGATTCACAATATGTTAATAAACACTAATTAACAAATTGCTTCGTATGAATGAATTTTACATGTATACAATTAGGATATAAATAAAAATTGTCAAATCAGACACAAGCCTTTATGAATATGCAATAATGCACTCATTGATTTAATCAGTAAGAACATCAAACATGCACAACCTTAGAATGGCCCCTTAACCCAGGAAACATTTGCCATTCTTTAACATAAGGTTTGTGTCATGTAACTAATTATAATGTGCAAATACAAATCTAAGAGCTGATTTTGTTCAAATGTGCAAAGATGTAACAAAATAGATCAAAGGAAATGATAGTCCTATTATGCAATTATGTACATATTTGAATTTGTACAAAAAATGACAATATATCAGGCTTATTTTTATCACGATATTTTTGTGCCGAGTGTGACATTTTGCTAATAAGCCAAGATACAGGCCCTGCCAATGTATCAATCCGGTTCTACTGGCGAAAACGGTCATCAGCAATTTTCAGTGTGCAGTTAAAGGATATGACGACATATGAACAGTACTGTATCAGTACTGTTAAACGTGTGCTTGCACAGAAAGAGGCTGGCTGGCATAATAACAAAGACACTGATTCCTCATCTCTGTCCAAACATACCATCAGTGGATATATATTCCTGTTAAGTAACCCATTCGTATACATCAGTGCTGTGCAGCGCACTAACCAGGGGATTGATCCACTTTCTTGGATTTAGCCCGCTCCAGGTGGCTTTAGTATTTTCAGAGGAGGTCTGTAACTTTGTTTTAACCTCAAATGTTGGTGAAACGAGTCAAACATTTAGGGTTCAATGTAGTGAGTGGACCGAAGTCATACGGGGACATTTCACTCAAGGTAAAACAGCTGAGGGTAAAAAATGTTTTTTTCAATACATCAGTGTACATCATTGTATGCTGGTACCGTTGGTATCCCTGTAAACCATTTCCTGTCCTGTATCAGTACTGATCTCACCCAAAGAAATATGTCTTGGGTCTGGACTTAAAGAAACCTCTCCCTGACCCCTCCTGCTCCTCCCTGTCTCGGAATGTGGTGCCGTGGACAATCTGCGATGTCCTCAAGCGCAGCTTCTGCAGTTTGGGCTTCATCCTGCTGAGTGAGGACTTCCTCCTGACGACTTTCTGTCTGGGTGGAACCTCGCCGTCCACGGAGTCCCAGTCGTTGGGGTTGAGGAGTCTGAGGGGCTTCAGGTTGGACTGGAGAGCCTTGGAGAACCTCAAGCGGCTTCCTTCCCTGAGGTCTGCGTTCTTTGAGTCAGCACGCTCGTACGCTCCTATTATGTCCCGCATGTCTACACTCACGTTGTCAGTGAGGTACTGGCAGGCCTTCCTCCCGCTGTAGTCTCGGATCTCCACATCGGCGTCGTAGGCCCCGACCAGGAGCTTCACCACCTCCATGTGGTTGTGCATGGCAGCCACGTGCAGCGGCGTGTAGCCGCTGTTGGATCGGACATCGGCGCTGATGGGGACGTCGTGCTGCTTGGCAAAGTTGATGAGCAGCGCCATCAGCTCGGGCTTGCCTCGCTTGGCCGCCCAGTGCAAGCAGGTGAAACCGGTGACGAAGTCCTTCCTCAGGACGAGGCTCGGATCCGTGGCGAGGAGGGGGCACAAGCTGCCCCACTCCCCGTCCGAGGCGCACATCATCCACTCGTGTTCCAGCGGGTCCAGAGTGACGGCAGTCCTGTCGTCGTCCGGGTCGGAGGAGACCAGGGAAGCCGAGTCGCCATCATTCCTGTAGGACAGGTACACTGAGCTGCGTATCACCATGCTCCGCCTCACCTGGGGGGAGCTGCTCATCATTACCTCGATGAAGTGTTTACGACTGCCTTTGGGACTGCCGAGTCCTTCGCTCCCAGACAGACTGCGTGTGTCCAACTGCCCTTCATCCTCCGCCTCTTCGTCTGACTCCGGCTGTCTGGAGGGAACTTGCCGTTGGTATCCTTTTGAGCTCCTGGTCCCCACGTTAATGTGTTCTACTTCATTCAGGCCTTCTGCTGAAAGAGACTCCGTCTCAACCGGTCCGTCTCTGGGGCCGAGTCCAACACTACCTGTGTCTATCTGTCCTTTAGTACCGGTTTGTACAGGCCCCAGCAGGATGAACATAGATCCCTCTGCAGGAACAGGCGAAGCTTTAGTCATTGAAATTTCTGGTATTTCAGGTTCGTTTACAACCTGCTTCTTCTTGGAGTCCCTCCTCTCTCGTTTGAAGCTTTCTCTGTTTCCCATCTCACCCGAGCGGCTGTCTACTTCCTCAACTGCACAAACAAACTCGCCACACTCACTTGTGTCGTCCGTTTGCTCTGTAAAAATATTCGCAGTGTTGAAATCATGCGGAACTCTCACCTGGCGCTCACTTCCGTAACCTGCGCCAGGTGGCTGCGCCTCACCTCCTGCGGCGCGAGGCTGGGCTGGGAGCTCCGCTGCGTCACTGCCACGAGCCCGACGGCTGTCTGAACCTGCAGGATAACGGTGACGGAGTTCCTCTCGAGACGTTACCGGCTCGGTTTCTGTCCCGTCGCTAACACTCCAGTTCAGCTGCTCCTTCTCTGAACCGCGAAACATTTTCTTCAGGCGGACATATTTCACTTCACTCTCAGTCTTTACAAAAGCAATGTTGTCCACGTACTTTTTAAATGTCTCACGGACAGCAGCTTTCTTCTCCGGCTCCTCCGGGAATACGACCTTAAAATGCGCAATTAAATCCTTGTTTTTCACTTTGCCCCCTTTCTCCTTTAGAAAGGCGAGAATTGCCTCTTGACTACACTCGGACGCCATTGTAAACTACTAATTTGAATAACCGTCAAAGCAGCAAAACATCGCGTAAACATGCGTTCCTGTCGTACCGTCCCATACCGACAAAATCAAACGAGTTATCATTCGGCGCAGAAATGAATGAAGTAGTATCGCTAACTGTGCCACGTGAGGACGAGTGTGAGGTCGAGCTTTTCACTGCGTTCTATTTCTAGCGTTCTTCGCCTCCTAGCAACCGAGTGCAGGAAACGGACACTAGCGGACCGTACCATTTGTTCTGTAGAGGGGGGTGATGCTTAAAACCTATGGTTAAAACCCGTTAAAAACGTCATTCGTGTTTCAATGAACTGCCAAACATACTTTCATTATGTGCACTTTTAAACGTGTTGAAGTTTGAAATGAAATAATTCATTTTAACATTTAGTTTTCTCCCTTCTGAATTAAAACCTTTTGGACCCTAGCCCTATTTTTAGGCCTCTGCTCGAAAATTGCATTACCCAAAAGACTCCACATCTGTAACTACAAGGCCTATTTTATTAATTTTGATTGTATAATACAGGTTAGATGTGTTGATATGTGTATATTGTGTATATGTTACTGGTTAATAGTGACTGAAGATGGCACACAGCTCAAATTGAAAAAGTTTCAGGTTCGCCTGGAAAAAAAAGCACCTGTATCAAAATATTTACTTGAAATAATGCAGATTCTTGCCTAAAAATACGCCACAGTCATAGCACAACGTGCTTTACAGTCTCTACAACACATTTTACTTTAATTGAGTGAAGCAGGCCAGCAAGCCACGGTCTGAGTCAAGCCAAATTCTCATTTTTGGAACCAGCTGTTGCGCTGCTCTATTCTAATTTTATATACTATATAACTATATATTAACTATATATTCACTTGTCTTATCACTAAGAGTGTTCAATACATCCTAATAAAGCAGTTTGGAATCATTTTGATCTTCCAAGATGAGAAGATATAATGTTGGTCAAATACTGTGGTCCAAATAAAATTACTTCAGTTTTATTGCCATTGAGATATAGAAAGTTTGACTCTAGAATATTCAAAAAAAATTCCTAATCCCTCTCACTGCTGGCGGCACCCTGTGGCACTCTCTGGCACCTTGCGGCACCCTGTGGCACTCTCTGGCACCCCCTGGCACCTTCTGGCAGCTTGTAGCACCTACTGACATACATAAGCAGAGGAAGAGTGAAGATATTTTCAGACATGTATTTTTGGATTGGACATTTTATGAGTTTTAATTTTAAATTTAAATTTTTTATATATATACTTTTAAATGATAATAAAACGGATGATTTATTTTCATTATTTTAGTCGATTGTTGTAAATGACTATAAAAGTAATAATTTGGAAAGAGTGTATTATGTTCCCTTTTGTTGCAAAACCAGCAAAATCATACTTAAATAAAATGAATGAGAAACAAAAAAGTACAACATAATTACTCTAAGGATGCATACAGAGAACGGGTGGCTCCGGTGACTCAACTAAAATCATAAAACTGATTTACGGAAGCTGACCTGTTGTAACAACAATGTGTGTTCTCAAGAAATGTCTCAGAAATGTGGCTCTGCCCCCTCAGCTCCGCAGCTTCTTGACGGGTGCCGAACTAGTACCGCTCGCCTGCCACAGCTGACGCTTGCCGCTGAGTGCCACAGAGTGCCAGTGCCACAAGAAGGATCTCGCTGTCTCTCCCATACAGAGAGCATAGTTGGTCGATTTTTGATCAAAATTGTGGTAAATCTTCTAGATATCTTCCAGATATGATATTAGTTCATGTATAATTGTGTTTGCAGTGTTTAAAATGGCTGGTATGATGATGTTGCTCAGACTTTTTTCGTTAATTCGGTATGTAATGTGTGTGGAGAATTAATTACATTTGTTTATGAAAAGTGCTTTCTACGACACGCTGAATGCTACACTTTTCTAAAAGTGATCCCGTGGGGGGCTCTCGGGTCCAAAAGGTGGTCCTCTAGGGCAATGCCAGTTTTGCGTTGACGCGTGACGCCGCCTGTTTGTGAACAGACCAAGTTGTTAGTTGAAGAAATCAACTTAGAGTGGACGTGTGATTATGAATAACTATGAAACAAGTTTTATTCTGAATGAGTCATGTAGTCAACAGTAGGCTATGTTATGGTAAAACATGAACTGGTTGCTGTGTTGCCCAACAGGACTAAACAAGTCTGGCACAGCACCGGCCTGAGTCAGCCAGGCTTCAAATTAAATATATAAGATAACCAGTAGGCTTATAGTTAAACAATGATATTTTTAAAAGGTATAATGTGTAGTATTTTCCTGTGTGTCTGTATCTACAGAGACCCTGAACTCTGCTTCTACTTTATCACTATCACGTGACCCGTACCGGAAGAAAACAAACAGGCAGGGCGACCAGCGATTCATTTCAACATGGATAACGAATTTCAAGCGTTGCTGTTGTGCAGTAAAAGTCTGCATTTCTGTGGAGGAAGCAGCTGTTATTGGAGCGATTAGCGAGCGGCGTGACCAGCAGCCAAGCCACAGTTAGCCATAAATGCTATTCAGAGCTACGAGTGAGAACAACAGTTAGTGCCTCGTTGTTTTTAGATTCTAATGAGAAGACACGCTGCTTCGTTTTACTTCTTCCGTTTGGTAGCCTTGAGAGACCTTAGTCTGTAAGTATTTGAAAAGCATGCTCTTGAGGAAGAGCAAATAAGAAAACGCAAAGAACATCTACAGTTTGAAGCAGACATTGCTGCATCTGTGGCGAAAGTCAACGTTTTACGAGCCTCTGGATCTGGTGTGTGGCGTGCTGCTTCCCGGAGATCAAACGGCATGGAATCATATTTCGGAAAACAGTTGAAAACTGTCGAAGTGCTTAATATGGACGCAGAGACTTTCATACCACATACTACTGAAAGGACTGGAAAAGGAGAACCAGCAATTGGAAATGCTGAGTCACATTTTGGAGCACCAAGACAAAGGGAAGCCGTTAACGCCATACATCTCCACCAGGAGGCACCAGAGCTCATAAGACAGAGTACACTTCCAATCACCACAGCTCATCCAGTATCGTATCATAGAGATGTCAATACACACTCTTTCATCAACAGCAGTAATAATCCGAATCAGTTATTGTCTATAATGGAAAAACAAAATGAAATAACTGCAATGCTGGTGCATCAACAACGTCCGTCATCGCTGCCTAAGAGAGAGATCCAAACGTTTGATGGAGATCCTCTGCAGTACCATGCTTTCATGCAAACTGAGGGAAGGACTGACGATGTGGAAGATCGCCTGCACTTCCTGGAATAGTACACCACCAAAGGAGCTTGTCAGAAGCTGTCAACACATGACTGATGGCACCGGATATGGAAAGGCGAAAGCCTTGCTGCATGAACACTTTGGAAACGAGTTTATGATGGCATCTGCCTATTTGGACAAGGTCTCTTCATGGCAAACAATTATGTCAGAGGACGGAAAGGCTTTACAGGCATATGGCCTGTTTTTGCGTGGATGTTGCAACGCCATGGAGGAGGTTCACAGTCTGTGCGAATTAAACACACCTGCTAATATGTGATAAGGAGATTGCCCTACAAGCTAAGGGACAAATGGCAAACAGTGGCATGTGACATCCAGGAAAGGCATAGCCGAAGAGCTATGTTTGCTGATATTGTGGGTTTTATTGAGCCTCAAGTAAAGATTTTAACAGATCTTGTATTTGGAAACATACAAGATGTTCCAAAGTTACTGGTGCACAAAGAAGACAATAGAGCAAAACCTTCACCACTCTCGAGGGCTAAAGGAAGTAGCTTTGCCACTACAAAAGAAAGACCATGTCGGAGAACACTGTTATACGTATATGGACACTCACCTGAAAGGACTTGCCTCTACTGTAAAGGTGGACACATGTTGGAGTTGTGCGCTTTATTGGAGAAGAGGGCACACAGTGAGAAGATCGATTTCCTGAAAACTAATGGAGTTTGTTTTGGCTGCTTGTGTACCAGCTTGATGCTTGTGCATCAGCAAGAACTGCAGGAAACGTCTGTCTTGTGAAACATGTGGTTTAAGACACCCTAGTATGCTTCACATCCATCCTGAGGAAAGAGCACATTTGGAGAAAGGCAAGAGCAACCTTGAGGGTACAGTGGATAGTTCTCTGGTTGCAGTCCAAACCAGTGGTCTCGCTGGGGCCGGTGAACGAAACTGTAAGCTAGCTATTGTACCAGTAAAGGTCAAATCTACAAAAGGTCAAAGGACAGTGGAAACCTATGCCTTCTTGGACCAAGGAAGTTCAGCATCCTTCTGCACAATGGGTCTGATGGATAAACTGAATCTCTCTGGGAGAAAAACCAAGATTCTTTTACGCACCATGAGCCAAGAGAAAATTGTGGACAGTTGGATTGTATCAGACTTGGAAGTGGCTGGATTGGATAGTGGTCGTACTGCGAAATGCCAGACATCTTTACTCAACATAGAATGCCCGTGAACAGGAGTAACATCCCACAACAGCAACACCTGCACAAATGGCCTCATTTGAAACAAATCTACCTGCCCGAGATAGATGCAGATGTGGAGCTCTTGATAGGCATGAATTTGCCCAGAGCTTTGGAACCACTCAAAGTCATCCGGAGTGTGGACAAAGGGCCATACGCCATCAAGACAATGCTTGGTTGGACAGTGAATGGACCACTTGGTGGAGAATGCTGTGATGGGGCTGTGAGTCATCCTGCGGTGACTATCAACAGGATTTCTGCTGAACGCTGGAAACAGCAATTTAAAAGCGACTTCCCTGAATGCAGTCAAGATGTACAGGCAGGGCCGTCGAGGGAGGACTGTAAATTCTTGGAGATGGCCAACAAGACTGTGAAACTTTTGGACTGCCACTACCGCATTGTTTTACCTCTAAAGAACAGAGAGATGAGCATGCCTAACAACTGTGAGACTGCAGAACAGCCTGCCCTTAACCTGAAGAGGAGGCTAATTAGGGATGTGTCATTCCACAAAGAATACACCGCCTTGATGAACGACCTCATACCCGGTGGATATGTGGAGAGCGTCCCAGCCTCAGACCTGGAACGCTGTGATGGAAAGGCTTGGTATATTCCACACCACGGGGTATACCATCCCAAGAAAGGAAAGATCCAAGTCGTCCTTGATTGTGGAGCATCATTTCAAGGGTTAAGTACGAGTACGACAACTCCAGAA